TTTCGAGTGAAGCTTTACAAAAATACGAGTATAAAATAATTGCTTAAGCAATTATTTTTCTATAACTGAGGCTTTCAATTCTATTCAATTAATTTAATCAAGGAGAAAATTGAACTAGATAGAGAAGTTCTACTATCTTATTTTACTCAAATAAAAGTTTCATATTTTTAATGTATGAAATTAATTTCATGAAATAGTATATTATAAAACGAGAGAAATACACGATTATTTCTGACGTGACTTGAGATAAAAAACTGAGTATAATTCTTTAACAAAATTGAAAAATTAACGTAAAGCTCTAGCATTTCTTGAAATTACATCATGGCAAAAATAAAAATGTTTGTTGGCGATGAGTCAATCAATGAATAGGAATGACTTACAATGGCGGACACAGAATTTTGGAAATCATATTTATGACAATTCAAAAAATGTCAACGAGTAAGCCAAGCTTTATTGTTAAAAAAATTGTTTAAAACGACAATAAAAGGGCAAACTACAGGAACTAGTATAAAAATAGTATATTATGTCATTAGGAGTAAAAGTGATATTTTATGTGGCAAAGCTGAACGTCGATTTTGCTACATAAACTCACTTTTACTCTAAATAACATATACTATTTTATACACAAAAGTATTCAAATCGAGAGTAAAGAGCAACACAATAATTATCAAGTAAATGAACAAAATCATTTTGTGTTGAGCTTTTCGAAAGTGTTTATTGATTTAGTGTTTGTAGTGCAAAATGCCAAATTCTGGTAATCTACAGAGTGTTCTGTAAAGAGACCAAAAACAAAAGAAAATGCCAAGTTAGATAAGATATCAGGAACATTAAAAAAATAAAAAAATTTGAAGCAGCGAGAGAAACAAGAAAGAAACAAAGTTAGTAAATGTCAGGTAAAAGTGAAAAACGCTTAGGCGAAAAAACAGTGTTTTTACTCCATGTCTGAAAGGTAAAACTTTTACTTGTGTCGTTTAGTCATAAAAGATTTTTTTTTCTGACGGTTGAAGGTAGACTTATTTCATACGATCTTGAAGCACTTATTCTTGCATTCGTGGTTCAAGACTGGTCTTACCAAACTTGTTTTTTAATATACACTTAAAATATTCAAAGTTTCTATTCATCTCTAGTATTAAATAAAATTTCTGGATTTTTTTAGAATAAAACAATTCTTTATCAATTCCCATAAAGAAATGAATTAAAAATGCATTTTATGCCAATAAATATTTTAATTTTAACTTGTAAAATCTATCAGTCAGCGTTATAAATATTTCATTTTAAGAAACTCAAAATTATGTATTTTAATGCAAGATTGAGATTTAGTTTTGCTGCTTTTATAGATTTTAAGTGTACCTACTTTCTTGTATGCATTCAGAATATATTATAAAAAGTGTTTTGTGTAAATAGTGAGAAAGCCGGGGGTAAAATTCTAAATACGACGCGTCGATGTAGCAAAATATTTTTCTCTTACTTTTAAGTGATTTGAGTTGGAACGATGTTTATTGAATTTAAAATTGGCTTTATAAAACCTAATATTTATTTGTATACAATTAACGATTTTACTTTAAATCAAAATATTTCTGAAATTTTCAAACACATCATTTTTCAACTAAACCTATTTTTAAATAACAACACACAATATTGTTTGGTGAAAAGCAGACCTTCACATTAATCATAATCCAAAGTTTATTTTAGCAACGACAATCCTGCAAGTTATTGTTCCCACAACCTCGTCCATCACGTTAACAGCGCTGTTAAAATTTTATTCAAAGAAACTAAAAACGATTTTAACATGCGCATAACAAAACTTTTATTTTTACACTGCTCAAGACAATCTGAATATATTGATATCTAGTGGAAGCCAAAATGCTGGAAAGCATCGTCTCGCAACAAATCAAAACAATTGTACAGATTCGAGCCTCGAATCGAGGATTCTCCCCCGAAAATTCAGTTGCCACTAAATGAGTCTATAACCTTGCAGAAAAACGATGTTTCGCTATTAGATTTGGGAATTTATGAGGTTGCTTATACAAGTGCTTCAAAAAAAATTGATTGATGTCACGATTTCTTCTAAATAAATCACGTCCAATGCCAAAGTGATTTGATATGGCTTGAGGTATCGAAACTCCTGCCGTATCGTTTTATTCTAGTCCATCAAACGAGAAGTGGTATAAAAGCAGCTAATGCAGTTGCTCAGTAACACCTTTTGGCTATTTATTGGAAAACGTGGCTACGGCATTATTCATCAGATACCAAAGGAAATGTGAAATGTCTCCATTATCACGCTGTAAATAAAACAATAAACTTGAAAATGGAGCAGGTGCTTTATTGTGAATTATAGCTGATAAATTGTAATTTGGATTTTTAACAATTTGTACTAACGACCAAGTTTTTAGTGAGGATTTTTATCTCTTTGTTCTTTCAACTGGCCACATAGATAAGGTCGAATTTATACGTTTGGGCATTATGCTGAATGTGGTTTTTTAGAGGCGTTTTAATTTAATAATTTCTAACCAGTCTGAAAATTATTTCAATTTGTATTCAATATTTTATTTCTGTCACAAAGTTTGAAAAGTTTTTTGTTTCATGCTAGGTTTAAATCAATTTTAAATTTAATTAATAAAAACCAAAATATTTAATGTACTCCAGTTTCAATTTTTTTTTTGAATTAAAGATGTTTACTATTTCGATTCCAATTAGAGAAGTTAAATAAGTCTTTTGATCTTGTATTGCAATAGCTTTGAGAATTTTTACATTAACGTACCATTTTATTAAAATTGGATTTTCTACAGATTTTTGTATTGGAATAGTTATTTCTTCAAAAAATTTACACCATCCTTGTTAAGATAATTTCTAAATGAAAATAAAAATCGAGAACTTAGTTTGCCCATATTTTTTTAACAGTTTCATCATTACATTTTGCAATTTAATACATTGTTAAAAAGATTGTTTTGTTGTATTTAACAAAATTTACGACACTACTCATTTCTGAAACAAGCGCTAGCCTGGCGCATCCACCATTTGCATATGACATTTTTATTAGATTTATTTTTATGTTAATTAGCATTTGAATCTCCTTTAAAAAATTTTAAGTGACATCAAAGATTTTACACACTAAATATTGTAATCATAAAGCAACATTTTAGTTATAAAGGGAATTTCTACAATGTTGTAACTACTTTTTTATTTACAGTTGCATGCAATATACAGAGTGTGGCAAAACTCGCGTTTCAGAAAAAAACTTCAAGTAAGATAAGATACTAAGAACATGGAAAAAATGTTTAAAATTCTGTCAAAACTTTTGACATTTTTTTTTACATTTGAAATTTTTTTGTCTATTTAATGGTACTGATGATCTTGTATATGAGAGTTACAATTGAGGATACATCTTCCTTGTTTCCTCTTCTAATATCCTGACCCAAAAAAAAAACTAGAAACATTATTTTTCCAACAGAAATAAATACTCAAAGTGCAAAATTTAAACTCTCATAACTTCAAAATTTTTATAGATAGAATTATTTTAATTTTTTTTCCATGATCCTGGTATCTTACCTTACATGCCATTTTCCTCTGAAGCGCGAGTTCTGGCGCATCCTGTATTTAAGTAGTCAACGTCACTAAATGATTACTATTAAAAATGTGAAGTTTAAAAAACAAGTCATAAACGAATTTGTTAATCTTCTGAACCATTATTTGCGAGCAGAATACTAAGCTTTATCTACGACTTTGAAATATTTTTGATCTTTGGTATTGACAAAGTTGACGTTTTAATTTAATTAATAAAAATGTCAAATTGTGTTCAAAAAGTAAGGCATACAGAGAAGAGTCTTAAAAAATAAATTTATACAGAGTGTTAAAAAACATTGTAAAATTCTTCAGGAGGTAATAGTATGGATCAAAACAAACAAAAAAGTCTTAATACGTAAATATGGGTCCGCAAAGTAACGGTTTCAATGATATCAAAGATTATTCGTTTTTTGAAACGTTTATTTGCAACCTGTTCAAATAAAAAAGAGAAGCTTCTAGTAGAAATTCTAAAAATTTTCACATTCGATGATTATTAACCCTTTTTTGGTTTATTTGGGTCCATACTATTACCGCCTTAAATATTTTACAATCTTTTTTTAACACCCTGTATACTCAGTTTAGAAAACCTTATAAATTTATTTTTTAAAGTTCCACTAATACATTAATAAAGTCGTGAAAACAATGATTGACACTGAATTTCGAAAATCTAATTTTACGCTTTTAAATTTGTGTTAAGACGATAATAAGTTTTGAATTAAAAGTTGGTATAAAAAATATTAGAATTCGAATTAAGAAAAGGTACTTAATTAATGCGTTCAAATCCACTTTGCGCCCTGCTGTGTTGTTTCAAACGAATGTTCACTAAACATAATTCATTTTTTAATTGACATTTTGTTTTTCACCAGATTACAAAAAAATCAATTTAGCAGTAATAAAGACCATTTTAAGATCAGCAATTCTTTACATTACATTACATTTTTTTAATGGCTAAGTAACTCTGACGTAAGCACGAATTTGAAACCCATATTACGAGTATTATAAATCAAACTAATTGGACCATTCAGCGTTTATGTCACTTAAATGCAATATTAATTTTATCTCCAATAAATTATTAGTTTATAATAGGTGTTTATTTAAATTTGGCATCATAGTTGGCGGTGATATGAGTGTATTGTGAACGGACCACAATTTTTAATACGAGGTGTCAAATGTCAGATTAATAACTTTCATGGATAGCTTTGACACTATATTTAAATAAATTTAAATAACAATTTACGTAATTATTATTAGTGGCAAAATATGTGCCAACTGAGTATGATAAATAAGTCTTCTGTTTGCGGTTTTATAATTTTTATTTGCACACTTAGTAAACTCTGATACCATTAACTATTTGGATTGCATTTTCGATTCTTAATCGCTCAGTATCAAATTACCCTTTCATCCGTTTAAAGCAAACAAAGTCCCATCCGACTCACCTGAAACTTTGCGAAACTTAAACCGGAGGATTGAGAATCGGCGTGTCTTTGTCAAAGTACGCCGGCAAGTTTCGCCGGAAAACACACATCTAACAAAGTGCCGTTTTCGGACTTTTGTTGGGTCTCTTCACCACGCGACACTGACGATTCGTGCTTCCATAGACACAGATTTATCACAGACGGTGCGCATACCAGTCGCGCAAATGTAGCGCGTGTACCATCCTCAACTTTACAAGACTTTAATTCCCAAAGGCTTGATACACTTTTTTGAGAATATACCGATGACATAAGCTCCTTACAGCTTTGATTTGTTATGCAAGACAAAATTGAGGCGGGAGGTGTGGCAAAAACGACAACTTTTGAATCTCTGCTTGGCACGTGCCACAAAGAGGAAATAGTCGAGCATTGAAATGACGAAAAATAATATAGCTAGTTGAAAAAGTCTATTAGTGACTTTTAAATTGATTAAACAGTGTTCGTACGCTTTTAGATCTATATTATGTCCACGAATTAGACAAAATGCTACAATTTTGTTTTTTTTTCCAAAATTTCAAAATTTTTGACAGAAATAGATATCTTTGCTGCATATTATCTGCTGTCTTTTTCTTCTAATAAAGAGTAAAAAAGTGTGTAGTGAGTAAGGAAAAAGAGGAATTGATTTTTTTGTTAGAGAAATAGTGCATTACTATTGGTGGAGTAATTTAAATTCATTTCAGCATTTTGCATTACTTATTTGGTGCTGTCAAAATTAAGGCAATTCTTGTTATTTTGTTTGGCATTTTCATGTATTTATTAATTTTTTGGTTTGGCAAAAATTCAAAAATTTAATTTGACAGATTTGATATTTCTCATTCGTTTCAAAACTGCGTAACTTTTATAAAAATATATTTTTTTAATTATGCAACTAACAATATATACAATTTGTTTCCAAATTGTCTAACCTTCACAAAAATATATTTTTAAAGTTTTGCAATTAATATACAGAATTTGTATAACAAATTTATTATTTTGATTTTCTTGAAGACTGTGAACTACATTGACGCGAAATGACAACAACTGTCAGAAGTGTCAGATTGAATGATGGAAATTCAACGCACTCTTGGTGGATTTTTTTTGTTTAATTTTAATTTTTATGGATTTTTGGCTCAAATAATATTAATTAACAAAAGTCACTCATCCGGTTCAGTAAAGGTTGGATTGAATTTTCATTTTTCATCATCGTTTATTGTCGAAAGTTTGATATTTTTGATATAGTGGTCAGCAAAATTGCTCTGTCGTCCCCATTTTCCTCTCTTGTTCGAGAGAGATGGTTAAATTAATTTTTACAGGGGTTGAGAGAGTTGGAGCTATCACGTTTTAATAATAGATCATAATAAAAATTTTAAAAAACTGTATAGGACATTGATAGATACTAATCTAGTCCATCGCCTAAAATTAATTTCAACTATACAGCGTGTCTCAAAAAAAGTTACTACACAAACAAAACACCATATGTTTCTTGGAATTTTTATTAGTCGATTTCGCTTAGTTTTAGAAATAAGACGTTCTTTTTTTGACGAAAACATGCACTTTTAAAAAATGTATTATTTTTATTAAATTTATTATATTTATTAAGTTTGTATTGTAACTTATTTTTGAAACACGCTGTATAACCCACTATAAAATCATTTTTCTCATGAAGGTAATAGTCTAAGGATTACAACTATCTGCATTTTATCAAAATTTTTTTACCTAAATTGCAATTTTGCCAAAAAAAATCGCAAAACTCAAAAACAAAAGAAAATTTCGTTCTCAAAATACCATTACATTTTTTATATTACTTTAATTTATATTAATTATTATTTTCTGAAGGCAAATGATTAAACAAAAACGCTTAGTTTCATACTTTATATTCACCGTGTGTATGTATTTATCTTACGATTAAATTTTATTCAACAATTACATTTTTAACGGACTTAACCAAATTACAAATTACAATACGAATTACTGTCGCTTGAAACAATTTTTAAGAACATACATGATGGAGAGAAGTAAAATGCTTTTTACTGTACAAAAAATGACAGCTGTCGAGTTGAATTTTTAACATTTTTAACACCTTTTAAAATTTTACGATTTAGAATTTATGATGTAAGAGTCTTGTAACGCAAATATTGGACGAAAATTTGTCTGTTATTTTTAGTCTTCATTTAAAAAAAGAAGTCATCGCTTAGATAAACAAAAGTAGCACGACACGAAAACAAAGAATTAATTTTCTTTCGCAAAAATCAGGATAACAAAAGTGGCATAAATCATTGTGTCTAGAAAACACCATAGATGAATCTGTTTCCGGAAGCAGCTTTTGTAGCACTATTTATTTATTCTTTGGAAGATTTGTCACTGGACGTTTTTATGAAACGATTCGGAGTTTATTAGCAGTTTTAATGAAATTCATTGTTCTAATAATAAAATGTAATTTCCTGAAGTTATCTTGTAATATCCAAGAGAATAGAATCATAAGATTATTTCCGAATCTGAATAGCAATAAAATGAGAGATAAACTTAAAACCGACAAAGACTGCATCAAACGCTCAAACTTTCCTTTTTATGTATTTCCTAGTTATATTTTATATTTTATCGTTCAAGATAGGAACTGTGAGAAAGATTTAAAGCTTAGTTTTATTCCCGTGAACAATATAATGTTCAATAAATCATCCAATTAACTTGGAAACTGTTTATGATTCGTGAAAATAAGTGATTGAATAAATTCAATCAATAAACGTTTTAGGGAGATTATAAATTGTCTGCTTTGCTTAGTTAGAGGACCCAAAATATATTAACACAAACTTTGCAAGACAAACTTTTGCGTGCTAGACCACAAACAATTTTTTTTTAATTTGCTGAATGAGCTGAGACTCTCGATGATCGATGCGAAAATCCTCGTCTTTTACCTTTGACACCCAAAGTCACAAATTAATAATTAATACCATTTCCGAAGGGTTTTTCACCCGTATTAATAAGTAACCGAATTGCAAAACGGAAAAATGAGGATTTGAATAATGCTGATGAGCGTAAGCTGAAGGACACTCGATATCTGAAGTTGTCTCTTGGTTCCTTTTAAACTCTCATTCTTTTTTAACCTAGACCTGAATGCATCATCGATAATTCACTTGACACACAAATCAAATCATTCACGTTATGCCAATATCGAAACTATTAAAATTTCATCCAATATTAATAATGACCGCAGCTGTAAATCAATGTGGTTGGATGTTACATGGACGAAGAATAAACCTACAATTTAATAGAAATAACGGCGACAACCGGATTGAACGCAATCGAGGGCTCTAATCAATCAAACACTAGTCATGTTCTGTTACATCACACCATTATTTCAAATGACACTGACGGCTGATATTATATGAACGAGAGGGTTTAATCGGAAGGTAGCGAAATATATGCGCAAAATAATTACAACACTCCTCTTTGCGCGCTAAAACGAACATCTTGCAGCTTTTTATTAAAAATTCGCGGAGGAGTAAAAAGCTATTCTTAAATTTTTTCACTTTCAACCAGTGGCGGCTCGTCATGGGAGGCAGTGCCTCCTCAGAGGAAATATAAGTTAAAAATAAAATAATTTACTAGAAATTACAATTTTTATATAATTTTATCATCAATAATTTTTTATTTGTTCAAATGTTGATTGTTTTGCTATAAATAATAGTAAACCAGTTTTAACACTGAAATCTGTCAAAATTTGCAACGGTGTCTTTTGCAATAATCCAAGATTGCAAAAATGCAAAATGTAGTGTAGGTTTTTTAGTGTAGTGTATGGTAGAATTACTAAATTAAATTAAATTAATTAAATAGCATTACCCCACTTGTGGCACATCAAATGAAAGCTATTTTAACAAGCTTTTCAAAAGTTTTTACCAAAATTGAATCAGACCATCCGTTTATGAGATACGGTGTTCTAATAAAAACGAACCACCTTAGAAAAAAATTGCAAAAGAAAACCCGAAACAGGTTAATTTTGTTTTTAAAAAGGACACTACGCAATTTTAAAGCACCTTCACTAACTCTTTAACCTCTATGCCACTTAACTCTAAAATGTCAAATAGCACCAACCACTAGTGATACAAAAAATGAAAACACATTTCTAAACATTCATAAAATATCGACAAAAAAACTAACCTTTCAGCAGTCAATATGTACAAAGGAATTTAAGAACTACATTACTCTTTTTAGGTACTTACATTAAGTTATAAGAAACTTTATTACCTCCTGTCCTTTAGAACGATTATTTTGACAGTAAAATATAAAAATTAAAAAAAGTTTCTTACAGCTCCAATAATACTTATAACAATATTAGTAATAATTACTAATTAGAAACATTATCTTTTGCAAATATCTTATGAATAGGTATCTTTAGAAAAGAGGTTCAAATAACATTTTGAAAACACTTTTATTTGATCTGTCGCAAGTGAGTCGGTTTGAAATTCCGAAATTGAAGTGGAACAAGTTAAAGGGGTTAGTGGGGATGCTTAAAAAAATGTGTCAAAAAATGTATTTTTTTTTAAACAAAATTAACCTTTTTCGGTTTTTTTTGCAAATTCTTTCTGGTTTGTTTTTATTAGAACACCTTGTATCTTATAAATGGATGGTCTGATTCTATTTTGGTAAAAAGTTCTAAAAAACTTGTTAAAATAGCTTTCATTTGATGTGCCACAAGTAGGATAGTGCTATTTAAATTTTGAAAGTTGGGGTGCGTGAGGGGTTAAAAGGTTACTGGGGATGATTTAAAAATTACGTCAAAAAATGTCCCCCTCGGAAACAAAATTGACCTGTTTTGGCGTTTTTGCAAAAATTTTTTAGTTTCTGAGATATTCGTGGTGGCTCGTTTTCATTGAAACACCCTGTATAATTTTTCCTACGCTCCAGCAAAAAAAACTTCAATACTAACGATTTTTCAATTTTTTTTCAGTTTTGCCATTAAATCTAGCAGCATGTTTTTCAGTTTCTATGGGGGAGGTAAAATTTCTACCTCCCTGAGAGGTTTTATACAGGGTGTTTCACACAACTTTACAAGGCTTGCCTAATGTACGAACCCAAAAATACAAAAGTCACAAAACACTGGATACAAAAAATACACATCGAATTATTTAATTTTTGAAAACCCATGACAGTAGTTGTCAAACTAATCATTGTTTCATTAATAGTCATAAACTGCAGTTTTTCAGAAATAATTATCATTCGTTCTATTAAGAGATGGCATGAATATGATTCTAGTTTATCTATCTTAAGCACTAACTAACTAAAAACGTTGTAATTTTTTAAAGGATGAACAAACTAGAGAAGATTATCCAATTTTTCAAAATTTCTAATCGAGTTTGTATCGGAATATGTGTTATTGATTGCATCTTACAGGCGCAAGCCTCGTAAAATTATGTGAAACAGCCTGTATATTCACAGATGAGGGAGGTAATTGGCCACTTTCCTTTTTGAAATTAGAGTGGAAAAACTTACTTTCTCTTAGGGTCGTAGGAAAATTAATTAATAATATAGTTTTGTGAATTCCTGGTATATTCAATATGAGTGGTTAACTGGAAGCAAAACAAATAAAAAAAATTTGGGGCATTTTCAAGTCGTGGTGAATAAGCATGGTCTAAAACTGGGGTATGACAAATTAAAAAAATATATCAAGGGCAATAGAAAGACACACGAAAAGTCAAGAACATATGTATGAGTAGCAAATTACATCTCTAGGGTAAATAAAATATAGCCACAAATGTAGATTTGGCCCCGAAAATGGAAATTAATAAATTTAATAAATCGTTCAAAAAAATTGAAAAATTTTAAAAAGGTTAGTCAATTTTTGTATTTTTCTTTGCTGTTAAAAGTGAGCTTTTCGTGGTCAGTAGATAAAGTCGCGGTCAAATCATAGTGGCCATTTATAGGCGTAATAGATTTTATATGTGAAATATTTTAACCCGACTTTTTCAGAATTGTCATTTTTGATAGATATGTCCCTAAAAAACAATTGGATGTTTAAAGTCGGATTTACACAACTCAATTTTTACAAATTTACACAGAGAAGTGGCCACTATGATTTTACACGTATATTACTATTTTTTTATATAAAAAAAATCTGCCTCCTCTTAATAAAAGACTACGAGCCGCCACTGCTTTCAACCACTAAAATCACTAACATGCGGCGGGCTCACATTCTATATTTAAATTTCATATGAATAAATATCGTTAATTTTCCCGAAAGACAAGCTTTATATCTTTTTTTTGAATTTAGCGATCAAAAACCACATTCCAAAAAAATTCAATTATAGAGAAAGCTCGTCGTGGAGAATTATGCCGAGGAATATTTTAGCTATGTAATATTTTCTAGTCATTCCTCGTAAGAGCGCCTAAATTTGTCAATCTCCAGTGCAAGTTCTTGCCATCACCTGCAACCGATTTCGTTGTCAATTATTCAAGACGTACCCCAAATCCGAGTTATTTACTAATTAACTGTCACGTCACTTCCAGCAAAAACCCAGCTTTGCTGTTTTTATTATATTCTCGTTGTTTTATTCAAACGATTCCAACACGTGGTCCTTGTGACATTTGTGGAATGATTTTAATACGATTAAAATCACTTTACTTTAGTTGTATACATGAATAATAATTAGATCTTTGATCTAAATTATTCAGAACAGCGACTGTGTTTCAAATTAACATCTTTCTACTTTTAGCCAATAATGCATCGGGAATTAAAACGAAGAATCACCCCCAAACACAGTCAATTAACCTCCCCAATCATCGTTATCAACAAACGTTGCATTAAACAATCTAAATTTGGTCCGCACTACGAAGCGTGAAAAATATGATAGGAGTTTTTCAGCGCGTTGACTATAATCCGATCCGATAATCACTCCTAATTCTTGGCAAATTGCCATCTTTGCAGAAGGAAATTACCTCGGTCTACCCACAATTGAGGAGCGGGGTGTAGTCATTAAAATCTCGATTTCCAATGTAAATTTATTTCAAGCAATACAGATACAAATTATGGCTTCCAAGTATGACCACAATACGTCCTGTTCCCTGCAAGCTTATCCTCCTGAAAAATCAATTTTTAATCAGGGATTATATTAAGAGAGAGAGAATTACATCAGAGCTATAATTGTAACATTTCGTATAAAACCTTCGAGTAAAATTGTTGTATTTTGCGATGTAACAAGCAAGAGTCTCGTTGTCGTTGTAGTCAATTTCAACAGGTGTAGGCGTTTTGGAATGGGACTGGAAATGGCTCACTGTATCCAGTTCACAAACTGGATTTGCCGCCATAAACAAAAGATTACTGTGGGGAATCCGTTCGATGACATAATACCTGAAATTGGAAAAAAACACTCAAGTACTAAAAAAACAACAAGCCGATTTACCAATCACAACCGGCTTTTGACGATTTATTCGAATAATCGACGGAATTAAACTTATCACCCAAAGTAAACAACCACATTTGTTTGTCACAAGGGGTCGGAACAGTTTTGTTAATTTCGAGTCTTTCATACAAAAGTGTTTCATTTTTTGTGCTTTCATAATCAGGACCTCCGGTAACAGAAGCGATCAACATTAAAATTGTTGCTAGGGCCCAATCAGTAACGTTTAATAAATTTTCGAGCAACTGCAATCAAAATAGTCAAGAAATGTAAATCAAAACAGCTTGCATACTCTTCTAAATAAAGTGATAGTCATAGTAGCAGAATTCTTGGTTTTTGACTCTGGTGGTTTCTGACAGATTGCTTGATAGTCAAACATTCTGATTCTTTTATAGACACCATTTTGTATCAAACGGTGGGTTATAATAGGGCTAACATCGCCAACAAAACGCCCTGTATATTCCTTCTCGTTACTAAGTACGACATAAGCGTTGTTGTCTAAGATGTAACAAGACAAATCTTTGCAAGCGCATTGAAATGGTTTTTGGGCACTGTCGCACTATAAAAAAATGTTTGAATTTCCAAATTTTGATTCTACAATTTTTACTTTTGCAGTTGTTTGATTGAAAACATCAAGCATTCTTCGGTGGTTGAATTGAACTCCGACTGCCGCCACCGGTGATTTTTTTCCTTCAGCTGTTACAAAAATTGCATTAATGCTTGTTATCATAGTATTGTATTCATATCCCGAGATTTCAAACGGGACAGAATAGATAAAATGATCTTCATTCCTGTTGAAATTTTCTTGGACGGCTCTTTTGTACCAATCTTCATCGATTGATCGGTTCCCCCAAAAAACCTCTTTTTTTCCTTTACCTTCGTCATCATCAACCACTTCTTCGAAAGTTTGTGGTTGTAGTGACTTCCAACGCGTTAAGCCCGAATGTGTAGCCATGAAAACATTATCAACCAGATACTGTTTCGTGAAGCTGAAAACAACTTAAAGTTGGAAACGAAGAAGTGATTAATTCTTACTGTGCTTCATTTGGGATTGGTTCGTCGAACCATTTGGTAACCTCTGCATCGAACAAAAGTGATTTAAAAAGCGGTTCCTCGCAATTTACATTTTTGTTTTCCATGTCTCCTGAAAATTGAAAATATTGACAGCTATAAAGCAAGAGGAATAAATTGTACTCTTTTGAATGCAAAGTAGTAAACAATTTTTCACGACTTCTTCCGGTTCTTTTCCGCTGTTGTCGCCGCAATAAACCCTACAAATGTAACGTTTTTGTTACATAGCAAACAGAATGGTCTTAAATACCAATCCGGGTGAACGGCCCAATTTTTTGTTTGGAGTAAGCCTCCTTTATAATTCGCGATATTTTTAATCGTGATGTTGGCCACCATTAGACCGTATTTGTCCGGTAAGGCGATTCCAACACTGAAAGCCGAGCCTAGCGCCATGAAAACGTATCTCCGCTTGCTCAACACTATGCGTTTCTGAAAAAAAAAATTTCGATGGATTTAGAGTGTTTTTGTTTTTAAGAAACTCACTAAATCTGAAGTAATTTGACAAAACAAGATAAAAAATTGCAAAATTAAATCTGGAAATACGTTATTTTTGTTTATTTCTACGAATTTAAACTGAAAAATTTACTGAATTTACAAATGTGACATTCAGAGAGTCACTGAATTAGAAATATTTTATAAAAAGTAAATTTAAAATAAAAAATTGAAAAATTAGATTTGGATTTAGTGAGTTTTTTATGAAAATATCACAAATTTCACAATTCTGTAAAAACAGAAAAAAATTAATATCAAGCCTGAAAATTGTTATTTTGCCAAACCAAATTAAAAAATTGAAAAACCATAAACCACTTATGTCACTCTAAAATTGTCTAAAATGCATTATTTTAGAAGAGTCTTACCAAATTTGAAATATTGTGTCAAAACAAATTTCAAAAATGCAAAATTCGATCTTGTAATGTTTTTTTACTAATAGAGACTGTTTTTTATTGAAAATCTTACCAATTTCAAAAAATTTAGCCAAAACATATTTAGTTTAGTTAGGATTAATAAATAATAATTATAAGTAAAATCGTTATTTTCGAAATTTGACTAAGAACGTTTCTTTTTGTTTTTTCATTAAACAAAAGTCACTATTTTCGAAATATTTTGATAAAACAAAATAAAATAAAAAATTGCAAAATTATTCTAGTTTTTCATGAGAATATCGCTAACTTTGACAAATTTTGTAAAAATAAGAAAAAAAACTCTGTAATGATGTCTGAAAATTGTTATTTTTTCTTATTCCAATTGATAAGCTCACTAAATCCGAAATAATTTGACCAAAGTAAAAAAATTGGCAAAATTAAGTCTGAAATGAGTTTTTTTGGATTATTTCGATGGATTTCGAGTGTTTTTGTTTTTAAGCAACTCACTAAATCTGAAATAATTTGACAAAACAAGATAAGCAATTGCAAAATTGAACCTGGAAATGCATTTGCAAGTCACTGAATTCGAAATATTTTACAAAAAGTAAAAGTAAAATGAAAAATTGAAAAATGAGGTATAGAAAACCTTGGATTTAGTGAGTTTTAAATGAGAATCTCACTAAGTTCCACAAAATTTGTAAAAATCGGAAAAAAATCTAATATTAAGCCTGAAAATTGTTTTTTTCTATTTATAAAAACTCACTAAATTCGAAATTTTCTTGCCAAAATAAAGTCAAAAAATTTAAAACCAGACCAGGAAACGTATTAATTGCGTAATAAGCATTTATTAGGTAACTAACATAAAATTCAAAAGATTTTGCAAAAATTCTGAAATGCATTATTTTCGCTTATTTAGAGCGTTTTTCAGTAAGAAACTCACTAAATCTTAAATAATTTGGCAAAACAAAATAAAAAATTGCAAAATCAGATCTAAAAAGGTGTTGTTTGGTGTTTTTGAGGTGTACATAGAATGTTTTTCACGAATTAGAAAAAATAAGTAATAGAGCAAGTCTGAAATGAGTTATTTTCGCTCATTCCCACTGAAAAGCTCATTAAATTTAAAATATTTTGTCAAAATTGCAAAATTGAACCTGGAAATACATTAATTTCGTTTATTTCTATGAATTTAAACTATACTTTTCAGTGAAGAATTTATCGAATTTGTAAAAATGGCATTTTGTAAGGTTTTTTTCATTGAGAGAGTCACCATATTCGAAATTTTAAATAAAAAATTGAAAAATTTCACAAATTTTGTAAAATTGAAAATTGTTATTTTTTATTCCAACTGAGAAACTCACTAAATTTGAAACTTTCTGCCAAACCAAATTAAAAACTTGAAAAACCATAAATTAGAACTTTTTCCTAAGAAACAAACTAATTTGTCTAAAATGCAGTATTTTCATCTATTTAGAGCGTTTTTTTGGAAGAATTTTACTTTTGAAATATCTTGACAAAACAAATATAAAAAATTCAAAATTGTATTTTGAATTTGAAATGTGTGTTTCACTAATTTCAAAAGATTTATCCAAAAACAGATCTGAATCTAGTCTCAATTTTAAAAAATACAAAAAACTTAAAACAAACAACAAATATGTATAAATAAAACAGATTATATAAAATATAGAAATAATAATGACAAGTAAAACCGTTATTTTGAAATTTTTCATGAAATCGTAAAAAAACAGATATTTTTCATTAAATTTGAAATCATATTTGGGACAACCTGAATTTCTCAATATTTGGAGAAATGTAACGTTTAATTTGTTTATTGTTAACTAAACTTTATCACTTTTATAATTTAAATTAAATAATGATTTTTTAAAATAAAAAGGCATTTGTAAATTCACCGCACGCCGTGCACGAAAATGAGTTGTATAAGTGAAATGTGAAATTTCAGGCCCAATAATTGCAAAATTAAAAAATACAATGGTGTAGTGAATAGAATAACATTCCATGTAATTTTTGTGGAATAATTCACAGTAAAAAGTTTGAATTAAAAACTAATTATTATTAAAAACATCTTAGTTTTTAAATATACTACTATTAACAAAATAACCAAAAAAATTAAGTTTGCATCTTAAATGGTATTTTTCGTTAGCAACGAAAGAATAATACGCTGTTTCAACATAATCATAATTCACGGTGTCAAAAAGGAGTATTTTCTAGCAATTTTGATGAAAAAATATGTTTTAGCACATGGCTTCTTTCCAAATAATGATGAATGTCTAGGAATTAATTTTGATAAATCAGAAAATTGGTATTTTGGTGAATCCAGCAATACACCTGATGGTCAAACTAATTTTTATACAGTACTTATTATTACGCAAAATCGGACATGCACTAGGTATTAATACCAACAACAACAGTTAATCCAACTGTAAGCAAAGTCTGGCAAAGTGTTTCTGAAGAGGACTATAGCCTAGAGGTGAAGCCGGTGTCGAAGATACATTTGGTAAATTATAATTTTAATAAAGAAATTAATACATTTTTAATTGCAAATCATCATATGTATATTTTTTGAAAGAAATATGTTTGGTAACAAATATGAATTTGATGATATTTCAAATACATTACTTCATTAAATCTGATAAATTTGATTTAACAGTTTTCGGATTTAACTGATGTGGTCTTTTTCATATTGAAATGTTGTCAAATTTTTGACATTTATGAATCTTGTTTGCCTATTTGCTCAAAATTCAGACAAAATTCAGTGCTAATAATTTTGATAGAAACACACCGCAAGTAAGTACAATGTTGTGGACAAAATTGATGTTCTTGCTAAAAAAAACGAACAAATTCGGTACCGCTAAGAGTTTTTAGAAATTCGGAACGAATAGTTCGCAAGCAGGAAGTTAGAAAAAGGGCCCATTAAAATGTAGACGCAATTTGTAATGCAGGTTTGCTAAATATTCTCAATTTTTAGCAAAAAATTGACAAAAATACGAAATAAACATGAATGAGAAAGAACCTCGGAAAGAATGCAATTAAATTAGTGTCTTGTGCAGCGTTTTTAAGAAACGAGTTGAAAAAGTAACAATTTTGAAACTAAAGCTAAAGAAGAGTTTATAAAATGCATCAACTTTGAGCTCATTTCAATAAATTACACAAAATTTATTGCCAATCATCATTTTTCATTAAAGTTTTTGTAACAAGAACCTCATTTTTGTCCACAACATTGTACTTACTTACAGTGTGGTTCTATCAATATTATTAGCACTGAATTCTGACCTTGATATCCGATTATAAAGTCTTACAAAGAGCAAACAATCACACAAGATTCATAAAAGTCAAAATTTTGACAACAGTACAACATCAAACATAACCATCATTTTTTAACAAATTTTTTATGTTCAAGAACAAAAAACAAACAAAATTTGTGGCCATTTTTTTCACCAAAATTTTGAATTGGTAATTTCTATTAAAGAAAAAACAGACTTTAGGTCTTTGCTAACAAACGCATCTGAATTATTTACTAACCATATTGTCCAATGCATATTTGACTTTCAAAATATCGGAACCTGTGACTTGTTGCACTATTTTATCTCTCAGCTAAAAAGAAAAATCACATAGATAAGACACAATAGAACATGTATCCACACCTTCACAATTGATTTATCGAAAATTCGCGGTTCGTTTGTGTCGTCTAAAATTTCTACTTCGAGTAAATCCACTCTGTTGAATGTCGGTTTGGGGATATTTTCAAACTGGAAAAAAGATTTAAAAAATTATTATTTTTACACTTGCGTACCTCGCGCCTATGTCCCGGATGCATCAAAATATATCCGTTATTTGTAACAATAAATGCGTATCCGTTTACACCAATCTGAAACATATTTTTGCAAAATTGCCAAATAAACAATTTTTATACCGTGTGGTGGGGTATTAACGAGTTTAAAAGCTTGATAGGGATGTCAATTCCAGCGACTCCAATAAGATCGACATCTTCACTTCGCCGACTATAGACGGGGAGCGAAAGTGTCGTCATGTAATCATACTCATTCGGTTTTTCATATTTTTCATAATCCTGAAACAAATTATTGAATTATTTGCCACTCTTTGCAAACTTCCAATCACATGATTGTCCTGGAGTAGAAAATGCGATTCGCTGGTTAAAACTTTCTGCAATCTTGTAAAATCTCTTTTTGCATGATCCAAAAAAATCGCCCTTTGTCTGTTACCCTCAAGCTTCCTCCACAACCAATTTGTGTATCTCCGATCCGCGAGATCAATGTATAAATAACTCCATATCAATTCACCTCTCGGAGGGTTGTCTTTGTGACAGTAATTAATAGGTCGTGACATTACATTCAAATACGGCAAAGCTTTCTCTCTAACTTCTTGCATTAGAGAAATGTTCACGAAATATCCTTTATTTGAACATGCGATCCATTCCAAAAGTCTTGCATCAGATTCGCTTCGTTCGAGTTGATAAGTAAAAACACGAACTGGAGTACCATATTGCCAGTTAGAACGGTTAAAAAACTCTTGTTCGTCTTCACGAAAGAAAGCTTCTTCTGTTATTAGCATTATTGCTTGATTACATAACGAGCCAATTCCCTTTTCCCGAAATTCGGCCAAAAGAGTGAAAGCTTTCTCTAGTCCAACTGCAATATTTGCCTGAAAGTCGGGATTGTAATTGTCTAAAGTTTCACGCAACAAGCGCAAATTTTCCTCATTGGCTTGCACGAGAGTGTCTTTGAAACATGGTACTAGAGGTCTAGTACTATTTGCAAAGAGATAAATGTTAACAAAATCGTTATCATTAAGAGTATCCAAAATATTGTTAACAATGTGAGCTGCAATCTTTCTCTTGAGTTTACAAACAGATCCTGAACTGTCCAGAAGAATAAAAACATCTTTTGGCGACGTCATAGCTTCAGTATACCATGATCGTGTTCTAGGGTCGTACGTTTGGTCGTACCTTTCATCAGACCATTTCACAGCTTGCAAAAATATTTCAAAACTTTTTGATTTTTTAATTATACTCACCAGGATAATGTCGCATATAACCATGAGGACTTGCAAAATACTGATACTTAAGCGTCGGATCCTTATCTAAATTCTCCTTAAAAACCATATCTAAAGGTTCGCTCCACCGTACCCCTTGCAGTACTTCTTGTTCTAGAAAAAAAACTATAAGTGTTGACAGTAGAAAAAAAATTTAAGTACCTCGCTCATAAATATTTGTCGCAATTTTAACAACGCTTAAATTTAAATTAACGGGAGTGTCTCCATAATTCGGATGTTTTTTCAGTGGTAACAAATTAAAATTTTCTTGGGGTCTAGTCCTGTCAATGGTCGAACAATCACAAGCTGGCGCAAACAGTTCTTCAATTCTTCTCTTTGTGAAATAATTATGTTTTAAAGGTTTTGTCACTGGTAGGTCTTTCTGTTCGCACCACCAGACACACTTAGCTTCTTGTATTTCTTTTTCCAACTCTTTTTCTTTACCACAGTCACAAGTGGTGTTTGTTATGTTATCAGCGTTATAAAAATAAAATGTACCATTGGGTTCAATGTAATCAGTTTTTCTGTGATAAGCTAGAAATTCAGCGTATTGGGCAATACGCTAAGGAATTTTAGGGAAGTTTGATTGTGAGGTGACGAAAATACTTACCTCAACTGCTTGTATTTTCTTTTCCATAGTTCTTTTCATTTTATCAGTGATATGAATTAAAAGCTTCATTTCTGATTCGTAATGGATTTTGTCCACAATTTGACTAAAACTCTGCCAAACATTAACCACGCTTTGATTTTTTTTGTGCTTTTGTTACCTTTTCAATTTTTCTTTTCCTTGTCATAGTTGTACTTAGATTATAAAGTTCGTTGCCTAATTTTTTTGACCATTCCTTAACACTGCAATAAATTAAGATTCGAATTCGTGCTGGCGCCGTTAGATTCAAAATCAATAACTACTAGACACAAAGGCGCCACACAGATTCATTCTGGACCAATCATATTTCATCATATTTTCTTATCAAATCAATTTTTGAACAAAAGAAATTTGTTAAACGCACCATAAAATATAATATAATGTTATTTAAAAAAATATTTCAGTACTGATTAAAAATTTACCTAATTAAAAAATAATAACACTGCCAAACTTTTTTCATTACAGTGCATACAAAAATAAATTGCTCCATTAATTAATTTTTAAAATCAATTAAACAAGTTATAATTCTTACCATTTCGCTACTTGTTCCCACATACTTTGTTCACTTTTATTAACATTCCACAATATAAAGAAGCACACACATATGACATATAGTTTAAACATTTTTGCTTTTTAATTTTTTGTTTGTTTGGCTAGAAGGAAGCGCACAATTGTAAAAACTATATCTATGCCAATATTAAAGAAACTCAGCGCATGTCTTTGCGCCAATTAGCAACAAGTTGTTTTAAGAGTTTCAAGTCGTCTTTAAAACAGAGTTTAAGACAAATTTATTTGATTTAGAGCACAATTGCTATAATTACAGTTACTAAACGCATATAGTCTAAATAATTTAAGGTGTTATACCTGCTTATCTACATAAATGCTTCAACCCTTTTCATAAAAGATAAACAGTGATAAAAGCATGATAAGTGGGCAATATTAAAACACACTTTATAATAATGATACAGTCTGTGTATTAGTAGCGAGATAAAATAAAATTATTACCATTTCATTTTTCGAAATTTTTGTGGAAGTAAGTAAGTATGCAACTTTAATTACTTCGAATACGCCATCTGTTTATAAAGAGTAATATTTCGTAAATCAAGAATAAAAAGTTGTGCATGTTGTAATGCTCTACCAGATGATTTAGTTCTAATCTGCGAGTAAATAAATAATATCTTTTTAATTAATTTATAATTAATTGTAATTAACTTTAATTTGTAATTTTTTTTCTTTAATAGTCAAATGTTTTATTTTTTATTTCATAAAGAAAGTCTAGAAGTTTACTAGAAATGGACAAATTAAGTATTATTAAAATCGTCACATCGATTAAGAAAGATACAACATAAATAACTTATCAGTTTGACCTTCGCATGTTATACGTATTATTTTGCTTAGGTTAAAGTCGTTACTCCTCAGTAACAGTAGTAAAACATCGAATTGAAGTCCCAAAGAACAAAATGAGTGGAGAAGTCCAAAAAATATTGAAAAATGCGGATTGTGTCTGCTTTGACGTCGATTCAACAGTAATTCAAGAAGAAGGGATCGATGAACTCGCCAAGTTTTGTAATAAGGGCGCTGAAGTTGCAAATTTGTAAGTTTGTGCTTTATTTAACAATTTTTTCATTGGTGTTTTTTTAAGAACGACTAAAGCAATGACAGGAACAATGACCTTTCAAGAATCACTTAAAATGCGCCTGGATATTATACAACCAACATTGACTCAAATCCGGGATTTTTTGAAAACCAGACCACCAACTTTGACTCCGGGAGTCAAGTAGGAAGAAAATTTACGTGAAATTTAATTTTTCTGTTATTTAATATTGTAGGAATTTGATAAACTTGCTGCACAGTCGTAAAATTCCTGTTTATTTAATTTCTGGAGGTTTTAAATGTATTATTGCGCCAATTGCGGCACAGTTAAATATTCCTTATGACCACATTTATGCCAATAAGCTGAAATTTTATTATACAGGTAAATTATAAGAATGTAGGGATTCAGATTAGTCCTTATATTTCCAGGAGAACATGCCGGTTTTGATGAAAATGCACCAACTTCAAGAAGTGGTGGCAAAGCGGTTGTCATTGATTTATTAAAAAAACAACACAATTACAAAAATGTAATACTGATCGGTGATGGGGCTACTGATTTAGAAGCGTCTCCTCCAGCTGATGGTTTTATTGGTATTTTCAATTTTGAAGTGGGGAAACTATAATGCAAATTATTTTTTCCAGGGTATGGCGGAAATGTCATAAGACCAACCGTCCAAGCAAAAGCAAAGTGGTTTGTAACCGATTTTAATGAAGTGATAGACGTTTTAAATCAATAATTGTAAAGAAAACTTTGAAAGTGCCGCTAAAGGTCACTGCCACCTGTTACATTACGCAATAAAAATTCCCTAACACATGTCGTAGAAAATTTTTAATAATAAACGTCACTTTGACATGTTTTGAAAATGGAAAATTTTCGTAGTTGTCTGTAAATAAATTAATGCGATATATATTGCTGCTCAGTACATTATTGATCTCATCTTTGGTGATGGCGTGGAGGTCCCATGGGAAAACAAACGCTGAATTAATTCGAAATCTAAGAGGTAAATTGTGCAACAGTAGCTTTGAGGTTATAACAGTTGTGTTTTCAAGCAAATGGAATTATAAGGAGCGATGCTGTTGAAAGCGCGATGTTGTCGGTGGATAGGGGCAACTACTCCAGAAACAACCCTTATATGGACGCTCCGCAAGGAATAGGTTATGGGGTTACCATCAGTGCCCCTCATATGCACGCTCATGCTTTAGAGCTTCTCAAAGACAAGCTTTTAAATGGTAATAGAGCTTTAGATGTAGGCTCTGGAAGTGGTTATCTTACAGCTTGCATGGCAATCATGCTTGGGGAGAAAGGGTATTATTTAATACAAAAATTTTCTTTCTTAGTTTTAGTTTTGTAGAATTGCCGTTGGAATTGACCACATGCCAGAACTAGTAGACATGTCCATCAAAAATATTGAAAGAGACCAACCCGAGTTATTACAGTCTGGCCAACTGAGACTGTTATTAGGCGATGGACGCCAAGGTTACCCAGATTTGGGGCCTTACGACGCTATACATGTAGGGGCAGCGGCCCCGACCTTACCCCAACCTCTTCTTGATCAACTAAAAGTGTGGTTGTGTTCAATTTTTGACCAAGATTGTATAATATTTTTTTTTAGGTTGGGGGTAGGTTAATCATCCCTGTGGGACCAGCTGGAGGAGATCAACAGTTAGAGCAAATTGATAAATTACCAGATGGTTCCATTCAACGTAAATCTCTTATGGGTGTTGTTTATGTACCACTTACTGATAAGTCCAATCAGTGGCCTCGTTCGTATTGACAATTATTTGTAGGAGCTGTTTTTCTTTTTTGGTTGACTCTGATTTGTTATAAGTATTTTAAATTCTAAATGTTCTTGCTAGTCCATTTTTTGACGCGAGTTAAGTTTATTTATTTATTTCTGTGCTACATACACTGCTACCAGATGTAGGTTTTTCCCTGGATAAATTATTTTCATTTAATTGTGTTTCATTTTTCCTAAAACATTAATATTTGAAGCACTATGCTTTGTGGCATATCGTTTGAAAATCGTTGCGTTCGATTGTTTATCGGACCGAAAACCACATAAAAAAGATATAATTTTTACATTCCACAATACCTTACTTTACGTGTAAATAGTAAATTTTTCTAAATTTTATTCTTACCTACAATTATTTACATAATGTTTTCGGACGCAATTTTTTTCCAACGTCAGCTCAAATTTTGACAGGAGTGACAACTCACCCATGTTTTTGTGAGAAAACAGCTGTTTTAATTAAACAGTTTCTAAAATTTTTATTGCTTTTGGAAGTAGACATAAGAAATGGAGACATCAGACAGTGAATATTTCGAGAGTGCTGATGAGGATTTTCAATCAGACGACGAAGATACCAAAACTGTTTCAAGTGTTACAAAAACTCAAGAAAATACTGTAAATGATTCAATAAGTAAATTAGATCACGTAAAACTAGAGGATACTCAAGAAAACAACAATAAAAAGAACGAGAAAGGTAAAACTGATTTACAGAACGAAATAGAAGACAACATTAATTCCAACGAGATTAGGGACGATTCTGGCATTCCAAAAACACAGGCAACAAAAAAATTAGGGAGTAAACTTTGTAATGTTGATAACGTCAAAGCTTCAAATGAGGGCAAGCCAAAAATTGTTAAGCATAGTAAAGGAATTGAAGTTACAAAAAAACTAGGTACGAAATTGAGTTGTGAAAATGACAAAACACCTCAAGACAATTTAGAATGTGCTAAAAAGGAAAAGAAAGTAAGTGAAGATGTTTCTAGGACTGTAGAACAAAAACAGATAAAGAATGAAACTTTGAAAATAGAAGATCATCACCGGAAAGAAGATCCTTTTGAAGAAAACCTCTGGGATGAATCTGAAATTGACTGGGGAAAAGAAAAGGATGAAGAAAATATGTGGGATAACGATGATGATTGGGAACCAGTAAATGAACCAACAAGTCAGAAAGTGGAACCACAGCGAGAAATAAATGAATCTCCGCAAGTAAAAGTGTCTTCTGGAACCAGCAGTTGGGGCTCGTGGGGCAGTTGGGACGTTTCCTCAATCATATCAACAGCAACTCACGGAGTCTCAACGCTTACGCAAGGAATTAGCACAGTTCTTGAAACGGGAATAGGAGTCCCAGATCCGGAAGAACTAGCGAAAATAAACCAAGCAGAAAAAGAAAAATCAAAAGAAACCATACGTGAAGAGGACATTGACAATAACTCTGGTTTTGGGCTAGGAAACTTAGTGATGGGGGTGTCACAACTCACTAAATTAGTTGAGACAACTGGTACCAAAGTGATTTCCGGAGGTTTGGATACATTGGAGACTATTGGTAAGAAAACAATGGAAGTGCTACAAGAAGGTGATCCAGGTTTGAAGAAGAAAAGAGCGTTCTTGAAGATAGATCAAGATAAACCGGTACTTTCACAATTATTACGTGAAGCGAAAGAAAAAGCCGAACAAGAAAATAAAATCTTGGAAGAGAAACATTTCGCGAAAAAGGCGAAAAATTATGAAACTTTATTTGATGATCATCAAGGTCTCGTACATTTGGAAGCATTAGAGATGCTTTCAAAACAGTGTGACATCAAATTACAAACTTTGTTGGAGTCTTACACTGATGAATCTTTAGTTGAAATGCAGGAAACGATGGATCAAGTGAAAGAGCTTTGTGAATTGCCTGATGAAGAAGAGGATGAACATGCAAACTGGAGTGAAATCCAAGAAAAACTGGATTCAGCTGTTAGTGAAATTAATATCCCAATGTCCTATAAGAAATTGGTTGAAACTTGGGAGGAAACTGAGTCGTGGTTGAATAACTTGAAACTGGAAATTTGTGACGCCAGAGAATTGCACCAACAAGCTGTTGAAACTTTAGCACAGTTAACTGCAATCGCAGTGGAACAGTTTCACAAAGCTGGGGAATTGTTGCTAGTGAAAGAACATAGAAGCACCGCTGATGAAGCGGATAGTTTAGTGCAGTAAGTAGCCCAAAGTATAAAAAATATTTATTGAAAAGAACTAGAATATCACATTTTATACAAAATGCCCTCAAAAATTCGTTTTATCTTAATTTTAGGTTGACAACAACTTTAACATCGCTAATTGGCGTCGTCGCCGCAAAATTCTCAGACAAATTGAACGCTAAAAATTCCAGCTCAAAAAACAAAGAAGAAATAAACAGTCTCATAACAAATGTCTTTTTTGAGGTAACAAAAGTTTTAAGTAGTATTCATTTTAATTGTGATATATTACAGGCTGCAAATAGTAGTTCTTACATTCAAGACGCTTTTCAACTTTTAATACCTGTTCTTCAAGTGGGCGCGGTGTAGTCTAAGTCTCATCATTTTTGTAAATAACGAGATATTAATTTATAAAAAATATCTATTACAATAAAGCTTTAGAATCTATTGTTTGCCTCTTTTATTACCGGTTGGGGGTTTTTGTAATTGAAAATTTGAAGACGTATTCAACTGAAAGGGGGAGGCTCCAAAACCTGTTGGTTTAAACATTGATGTGTTAGCAGCTGAAGTTCCAAAAGTTGGGGCTGTATTTCCTAGACCAAACCCTACAAAAACATTAATTTCATCTAAGAAAATATTTTTATTATAATATTACCTAAACTTGTAGTCGTAGTGGGAAACGGTGGCTGGGCTTGTTGACTCGCAATAGCTAAATTGTTGCTTCCAAGAGCGATGGTGTTGAAAGGAGTAGGCCCTGAAGCTAAATTCGGAGGTGTAGCTCTGAGTGCATTTTTCATAATTGTATGCATGGCCTCCATATTTTTATCCATTTTTTCAAAAGGATTAACATTATCTTTAATCGCTTGTTTACGCAAACTCAGAAAAACTTCTTTTTGAGTTTCAACCTGACTATGAATTGACTGCATGCGCCCTGCCAAAGCCACAAAAGTCTCATGGAGTCTTTTTAAACCCAAGGCTAGATCTGAAATTATCTATAAAACAAATGTTACAATTTTATAATTTTTACCTTGTGATGTCAAAACATTTGGTTCGCTACACTTCTTAACAAACTTTTCAGTATTGTCAATTTTTAATTTTAATGTTTGCAATTCCTTTTCAAAAGTATCCGCAAGTTCTAGGAAAAACTGTAGAGGGGCTGTATTATCGTACTGAAGACTCGGGGGCGTGTCTTGGGTACGTTGGGCCATTTCAATGTTTTGCAAACCCTTGGCTGTGTCATACTTCAATTGTTCTGCAAGACTGCGATTGTTCAACAATTGGTTTTCAACTTGATTTAATTGGTGGTTTAAAGAATCCAATTCTGATTCAACTTTCCTAAATTCTTTAACTGAACATCGCGCAACATCAGAACTACGGTTTTTCTCCTCTTGAACAATATTTTTAAACTGTTCTACCAATTGAGAAAATTCATTGGGTAATGGTTGTTCTTTCGGTGGTAATTCTTTTTGTGTCGAGGAATTAGTACCAGGTTTCGACTGAGTTGAAGCTATACCCCCTAAACCTATACTCTGAGTAGTAGTAGTGGCCGTTGATGTTAAATTTAGACCAGTTGAAGAAGTCCCGAGACTCCCAAGTCCCCCTAAACCAGTGGTAGCAGTTCCAAAACTGAGCCCTGTAGTTGCAGTAGATGCCCCAAAACTCAAACTAGGCGCTGCAGTACTTGTAGCACCAAAACTCAAACCAAGAGTAGGTGCCGAAGTTGTAGCTCCAAAACTAAAACTGGTAGAAGGAGTTGAAGCAGGTGCCCCAAAACTAAGCCCCGTGCTTGGCGCCGAAGCTGGGGCTCCAAATGATAGACCAGTGCTTGGAGCTGAGGTACTAGCTCCAAAACCAAGTCCTGTACTAGGAGCCGAAGTGCTAGTACCGAAAGTCAGGCCTGTTGACGCGGCTGGAGTCCCAAAACTCAGTCCAGTCGAAGAAATGGGCGTCCCAAAACTCAATCCTGTAGAAGCCGGAGTCCCAAAACTCAGTCCCGTTGAGGCAGGAGTGGCAAAACTGAGTCCTGTTGAGGCCGGAGGCTTGAAAGCTAGACCAGTGGAGGCCGCAGTTGAAGCTGGGGTACCAAAAGTCAATCCTGTGTTAGCAGTCGGAGTACCGAACCCAAAACTGGTTGAACCAGGATTTTGTGCAGGGGCTCCAAAACCAGGAGTTGACGTTCCAAAAGCGAAGCCGGTGTTGGGGGTTGAGGTAGCAGGCCTAAAAGCCGAAAATGTAAACAATAATTTTTAAGTGGTGGGTACAGACTGGGGTCCAAATAAGTTAGAAGTAGAAGTGGGAAGGTTCCCAAAACCGAATTGTTGTGTTGGTTGGTTTGCTGGGGTTCCAAACGTTATGGAACCAGTACCAAACGTGGGGGGCGCGGTTGTTCTTAAATATTTCAGTTAAACTTACACATTTCATTGTTTAATACTCACTTGGCCCCAAAACTGAATCCAGTTGCCATTTCTGTCTTAAATAACACAGCAAAAACTACGAAACTGGATAATTAAACATAAACAAAGTTAGGTTATGTTCATATATACAAATATTTAAAATGGAAATCTGATTTACCGACTGATTAACTTTTGAAATAAATATGTTTAAAAACTATTTATTTTTTAAAAAGGTGCCCCATTTAATTTGGAAGAATATTCTAAACAAAAACTTCTCTTCAATTTCTCACATACTTGACAAAAATGGTGTTGGCGATGTCATAACAGTGAAGGTAACCTCAAATTACCACTTGTCAAATAAAATTTTATTTCTTAAAATTGAAGGGATGGATAAAGTCGTTGCGGGATCAGAAAGAACATATATTTCTCGATGTAAGCGATGGTTCCACTGCCAAAAAACTCCAAATTTTGCTTCCCAAAAAATTAAAACCGGAAGATGTAACTACCGGTGCTTCGGTGGTAGTCTCAGGGCCTCTTACTTTATCACCAAAAGGCCAGATAGAATTAATAGCAAACACTATCGAAGTGTACGGCAAATGCGTCGTAAGTGAAGGTTACCCGTTTGCACCACGTAAACAGTATGCTCCTGAATATGTCAGGCAATATCTACATTTCAGACCAAGAACTAACAAATTCGGGGCACTTTTAAGATTGCGCAATGCAGCGACATTAGCTATTTATAATCATTTTAATTCAGAAGGCTTTGTTAATGTTCATACACCTATTTTAACTTCAAATGATTGTGAAGGGGCTGGAGAGGTGTTTAAAGTAGTTCCTGACAACAAAAATTTGATAAAATCAATGTCGAAAGAGGGTCAAATCGAAGATGAAGCCTACTTTAATAGGAAGTCTTTTTTGACCGTCTCGGGACAGTTGCATTTAGAAGTTGTAGCTCATGGTTTAAGCAAGGTGTATACTTTCGGGCCCACGTTTAGGGCTGAAAATTCCAAATCGAGGTTGCATTTGTCTGAATTTTATATGCTGGAGGGAGAAATTGCGTTCGTGGAAAAACTAGATGGGCTTATAGCCTGCATTGAACATGCAATTAAACAAGTCACAAAAAAACTAGTCAATGATTCGATTGAGGATATCGAAAAATGCCAAGAGAAAAAAGTGTCTTTTGATTGGGTGGATAAAACTTTTCCTGTAGTTACATACAAAGAGGCTGTAACTATTTTAAGTAAGAATACAGATAAGTTCAGAGGAAATTTCGATTCCAAAGAAGGTTTTGGTAAGGAGCATGAAATGTTTCTTGTTGAATACTTTGGAAAAGTGCCCACTTTCGTCATAGACTGGCCAAAAGACATGAAACCCTTCTATATGAGAGACAATGGGGACGGAACCGTAGCCGCACTCGACTTATTGGGCCCTAATGTAGGAGAAATTGTTGGCGGAAGCCTGCGAGAAAATAATTATGAAGAATTATTAAAGAAAATTCCCAATTATAACGGTCACTTGGACTGGTATTTGGATTTAAGAAAATTTGGATCGGTGCCAACAGGAGGATTTGGTTTAGGTTTTGAAAGATATTTGCAACTAATTTTAGGAATAACTAATATCAAAGACACGATTCCCTTTCCCAGATGGCCGCATAATTGCAGTTTGTAGCTGAATTAAGAAATAAAACATATTGAAGCTGAAACTAACATTTATTTAAGTAGTCATACATTTAAATTAATACCATGTGCTCGTCCTTTATTAAAATTAATATGTATAAGAAACCGTTATTGGAATACACGATTTTTAAAAAATAAATTTTATTTTCAAAAAATTAATGACAACAACAGACATAAAATGGCTTAACACTTTTTAAATGTCAAAAACTATCATGATACGAATAATAGGTACAGAGTGATTTCAAAATAAATCCTACAAAAATCCATTTTAGTGCAAATGATAAAATGAAACAAGTTTTTATATAAATAGTCCCCCTTTTAGTCTACATCACCACAATATATACACACACTCACTCAGCACTATTTAAATTAATCACATTATACTACACATTCCAGTCAGTTCACTTCCTTTTTGCACTGGCGGTAATTTCTTCAGTTCTATGCCTCTCAGAGCAGGTTTGATATTTAATTGGACTGGTTCTTCTCCTGGTGGTAGAGGTTGTGATGGATCTATAACCGGTTCTAAACTAGGCACGCTATCACACGGAATATCTTTCGGCTCTTTTGGGGCGATCACAGGTAAAGGTTTACTTATATTTATTTTAATTTTACTTCCGATATTTGCTGTCGATGTTGGAACGCTCGAAACGGGTTCGGTATTACCATCGATCGAACTTATAAAAGTGGGCTGAACCGGCTCTGTAAAGGACACGGTTGACTCTTCTCGGGGTGCCTCTAACATTTCATCTAAAAAAACAAAAGATGTAACTCACTACAATAAAAAAAACACTTATAAAACTTACCGGGATCGATTGGTTCACTTTTTATTTTAATTTGTCCTCCATTTTTAATTTTAATTAGGCCTTCTTCGACGTCCATAAAACCGTCATCAATTTGCTCCACTTTGATAGGAGTATCGGAAGGTAAACTATCGGCATATTCTTTATCATCGTCCACTTCAATTTTCTCAGGTACGACTTCATGAATAATTACGTCATCGTCCTCACCATCTTCTTCCTGATTTTCGTTTTCTTCTTTAATTTCTTCGTTTGATGGCTTCGACTCGTCACTTTCTTCAATTATAACTTCTTCATCCTCTTTATATTTCTCTTCTTCCTCCTCCTCATCATCATCATCCAAAATTATTTCAAGTCCGGGTATATTCGCTTCTTCAATTTTTTCTTTAGTTTCTTCCGGCTCCGGTTCTTCAATTTTAGTTTCTTCAACCGGTTCTAACAACGACGCTTGATAATCCTCATAACAAACAGGATGATACGTTTTATCTTCAACTCTGACCGCATTTCTTAAATGCCATTCTTCTTTCTCTTCATTGAAGAAATGGTCGAATCTGTCTTGGCACACTTCACAATGGGCATCTTGAACATCAGGATCGGCAGGAACACTCGGCACTTCCACTTCTTCATCAACATCATCACCTGCACCCTCAGCTTGTAACTGTTGTTGGTCGAAATAGTTCTTCTCTCTTTCTTCCAAATCTTCAATTTCTTCGTAATTCTTCCAGTCGGAAAGTGAGTAGTACCATTTGCGACTCGCGGCAACTCTGATGTTCTTTTTACCTTTTCTGTTTTGTCGGAAATGCCAATCCAAGTGCTGGCTGTAGTGTATACTTTGTTCTGGAGGGAAACGCATGCCGCAACTGCTGCACTGCATCCCTGAGTAAAGTGCTTCATAGAGAAGATTTTGGCGTATTTTCAACGTTTCAGGTCTAGTGAAAGTAACTGGCCTGAGGTTTTCGATCGTACTGCGTCTCACAGTTTTAACGATTGGTGGTGGTTGAGGTTGTGGTTCTGGTACTGGTTCTTTGGTAGCGACAATTCCAGTAGCTACCAACTTCTGGAACAGTTCGTTGATGTTGACCGAGGATGGTAGTACCGGAACTGGATTCACATAAGGGATGGTATCCATAGAATGGCTATTCTGAGTGTCCATGTTCTGTCCCAGATTTTCAACTTGGTATCCTCCACTAGTGGCACTTGGTGTCATCGAGGAAGTCATTACACTTGAAAGCACGTCCAAGTTGTCTGAAACACAAAACTGTAAACTTGTCATTGGTTGTAAAAGAGACTTACTTTGCTGCATGAAACTCTGGAAGAAATGTGGCGAATTCGAGTTCCTGTCTTGCTCATCTTCCACCTTTTTCTTGCGGAAGAAGACGGGCAGAGCAGGCTCGTTAATGTCAACAGCAAAGGCTGAGTTGTCCTGACTTTCGTCAGTCTCAGCCGGTTGCACACCTTCCATGTCTTTAATACACACAAGACCTGGTTTAACACCCCTCGGCAACACTGAAAATCTGATAAAGTGTTTCTTATCATGGACAGTTATAGGTTTAGGGAGGCCACCAAATTCAACTTTAAATGGAACATCATTTATTAAAACAGTTTTCAAAGCATCTACAAATTTTAATGTATGTGTTTCACCATCAATAACAAACTTCTGCACTTTGGCATCCAGAAAAACGGGAACTAAGATTTTCGCATCGATTATCAGATTTACTTTGCCGGCAACCAGATCCGTTCTTTTGACGGTGCCGATTTTCACCTGAGGTGGGGGGCCGTCTAATTTCACCACAGTCATTTTCCCGTTTAGGTCTATCGTTATTCCGGGACCCCCGAAGTAACACTCGTAGGGTTTCCCATCGATGAAGATCTCACGACTGGGGGCCCCCAATCTTACTTTATGTATCGTCTCGTTGATACAAAGCTCTTTATATCCTTCATTGAAGGATAATAAATAAATATCTTTATCGTCGAATGTAACACGACGACTTCCGTTTTGGAACGAAATCTCTCGGGGATCATCCCAATTCATAAATACGATTGCGGTCTCGTCGTAATATCTTATATCACGCGGCATTGCATCGATATTGATGGTTTTAATATCGTCCTGATTTACTGAATCCACAGTTACTTCTGCTGGAGCTTCCGGTGATTTCTTTCCATCAACCTCTTGATTTGAAAATTCGCTGTATTCGGGAGTGTGCACTTGGCGATTAAAAGTGGGTCCCATGGGCCTCCAAGCGTTCATTTGATGCAACCAAGGTCTTATTGCCGGCCTAGGATGTGGTCCCACGTGAGGATTCTCCCAATGACGTCTTTTGCCACCCCTCCAATACGACCCACCCCTTCTAGACTCCCTGGAATCCCTGGAAAATTTATGGAAATTGACTCTATCATCCTTGTCCCCGAATTTTCCATCAGTCTCTTCATTAAATTCGAGTTCTTCGTCACTGACTGGTTGAAGGTTTCCAACTGACTCTTCACTGTCCCTCATTTGTGCTTCTTGCAGTTTTTGTTGCTCGATTTGTGCGATAATCTTGTTCATTAGTTGCTTTTCTTGCTCCTTCGTCATTGTTCCAGCTTTGATGCATTGCTCGTCGTCTGAAGAAATGATGATTTTCTTGATGTCACTGATTCTAGGTGACACCGGTGGTACTCGAAGATCTTCGTCTTGAGTCCGCTTCTTTCGGACTAGATCGACATTGTTAAAAATATAATTAAAAACAAATCCTAGTAACTTACAGGACTTGGCCATTATTTTGTCGCGCCCAGTAGCATTGGCAAGTTTCGCTCGTACAGCATCAAAATCTGAAGATTTCTTTGGAGAATCTTTCTCTTTATCCGTGAGAGAGATGATTGGCGGCGGAGGAGTCGGGGGACGTTCTGGTTGTGCCACAGGTAGAACAGTGCGAAGATCCGTATCTTCATTTCCGAACAAACTATAAAAAAATATTTAATAAAATAAATCTACAATATGTAAATGTAAATCTTACGCATCAAATACTTCCGTTTTTGATTTTTTGACTGAAGTATTCTCCAAACTTTCATTTGATGCTCTCTTCTTTGGCGCGTCGTTTAACTGTCTCAAGTCCACGTCCATTCCCGTTTGAGCGGCTAATTTGCCTACAAATGATGACATTTCCAGTAGATTATATTCTTTTGAAATTAATGCCTGCAGAAGAAACTTACTTTTTTCTTCGGCAGTTTCTGGGTGTAGCCGTGGTTGTTTTTCCGGAGGTCCTGATACTCTCAAGTCGATATCTTGATTCGGTTCGGGACTATACGATGGCGAACGGTTTCTTCTAATATAATTCCTATTTTTGGCCTTAACACCTTTGAAAGTTGTCGGCAACGCGTCATTTTTGTGACCCTTGTTGTCCCTATCACGCTTGAAACCCTTTTTGTCCATACTATGATCTTTCTTTTTATGCCTATTTGGTGATTTGGTCGGTGATTTCAATTCACTTTTAATCTTAACTGGCGAATCTAACAGATTTATTGAACTTTTACCCGAGAAAGGTTTCGAGTCGTTGTCTGCACTGTTTTTGCTACGTGGTTTGATTGGTTTTTGTTCGGATTGTCTGGATTTTAGGAAGGTTTTGGATTTGTCTAGTTTGGATGGAGGAGCATTGTCTTTATTATTAATTAAACGAGGTTCGATACGGTTGTCTCGAACGCTCTTTGTATTTGTAACAACTTTATTATTAGAATCTAATACTGAACTCTTAGATCCTAATGAAACACTAGTACTACTACTGCTGTTGGTGCCGTTGGTAGTCTTCTCCGTTTGTTGACGTAATAAGCGAGGATCACGAGTTGGTTTTGTTGCTGTAGCCACTAAAGCGCTGTTTACTGGTGTGATTTTAGGCGTTGTTTGCTGTGCTTTCGTACCGAGACCCTAAAATGATTTTCATAAAAATAATTCCTACTAAAATGCTTTTTGAAACTCACCAAACCTGACTTGCTTTTAACATCACGTGTTGCGCCCGGAATTAATTGCTTCGTCACTTCTGGCATTAGTTGTTTTGCTACCTCAGGTTTTAATAAAATATTCTAGAAAAAACTTTATATTACACAACGAGTCAGCCAAGTTATTAACCAATTTTGTCGTAACAAATCAAAATAAAAGACAGTATCTTTTTAAAACTACGTATGTAATAATTAAAACTAAATAAAAATCACAACAAAACACTAATTAACATTGCCATCAATTTTTTCGAAAAGAATCGATTTCGATAGCGCCTCTTCGATTTTTTTGGGAAACTTATAATTCTGTCTTACGGGTGTATCTCCCATATGAGCTACAAACTGTATGTTGTCATCTACTTCTTTTTTGATTTTTTCCAATATTTCATTAGCAAAAGTTTTGATTGCATTTTCGTAATTATTTTGATTATTTTCGGCCAATTTTAGATTTGCGATAATATTATTTACTTTAAAATCAGATTCTGTAGTAAACATAGTCTTGATGTCTTCTACTTCTTGAGAGTATCGAGTTTTTAATTGTTTTGTCTCGTAAAGTTGACAAACAAATTTTTTGTTAATATCCGAAACCAAATTTTTCATAAACTCGAGCGCTTTGATCTTACAATCATCCACTGTTTTGTTCAATACCACTTCATCGCTAACTGTTGCACCTTTAACATTTTCAATTAAAGACGACTGATTTTTCATAACATCAGTAACACAAAGCATATAATCGTTCAAGGATTGCTTCATGGAATTTATACAACGCGTTGTCATCATTTCCACCTCGTGCATTTTTACTTCATTATACTTTTCTAAATCTTGTACCGCTTTCTTTTGCGTTTCAAAAAATTGAGACGTAAACATAGGATCCAGACGCTGTTCAAGCTCGCGCAAAAAATTATTTTCATCCATTTTATAAATATCGTTTTGTGAATCATCTTGAAATTTTGTGGAATACTCAGTCAATCGCTTACACATTTTCCAAGCATTTTCCTTCAAACATCCGACATTCGCTTGAACCTCACTCAACGAAACATTTTGACGGTGAATATGATCTTTCGTCGCGTTCTGCAATGCCCTCAATGAATCACCAAACAAATTATAGGCATTTTTTGCCGACGCGGCATTCTTCAAACTGATCGCGCATTGATTTTCGTATTTCTGACAAAACAAAGTTTCATGTTTCGTCGAAACTTCGCACACTTTCCGTAACTGTTCAGCAGCCGATCTCATTTCTTTTTCGCGTGTTTTGAAATAATCAATCACGCTTTTATTCCGTTTCTCTTGCAAGTCCTTTTCTCGCAACTCACGTTTCAAATCGTCGCAACATTGGCTCAAATTTCGTAATTTCTCATCTTTTTCTTTAATCGACAATTCCAATTCGGTGTTTTTCTTCGTGACTTCCTCGAGATTTCGTTTCTTAACATTGGCTTCTGTTTGTAATCTCTCCACGTCTCCACATAATCTTTCGTGATTTTCTCGGCTGATGTAGAATCCTTCGCCGGCCCGAGCTATTGCCAATTCTTTCCGTAATCTGCTAATCTCGTCTTTTAAATCCTTAAGAATATTGGCTTGTTTTCTATTTTCGTTAACTTGAGGACAATTCGAAACATTTCGTGCCACTTGAGCGTAATCCAACGTACTTATGGTTTCTTCCCACACGTTCGCAGCCGCTGAAATCGTCGCAATCATGCAAGTCTTTGTTTTACCTCCCAAACTATCTTGGAGAATTCTGGTCAATTTTGAATCTCGATAAGGCACATGTTGAGTCTTTTGTGCCAAGGCTTTGATGACTTTTCCTAAAGTTAGAAGTGATTTGTTTATGTTGCCGGCTTCTCGTGCTCGTAGTTCTGTAGAACCTGACCTTCCAACATTCTCACTGCCGGCTAAATCGACCAAATAAAGTTTACCAACTGTAATTAATTCATCACCTTCCACTGTCAATTGACGAGTTAATACCGATATTGTAAATATTGAATGGGACCGAGAGCTGTGGCGATTCATATTTGTCGATGCTGTTTGTCTTTCCACTAAACCCGTATTCAGCCAATCGTAGACTTCTTGTAAATTAAGAACAGTCGCCTCTTTTACACCTTTAATACAAACTGATCCTTTATTTTCCGGATCTTCAAATATTTTCAATGGTATTGTTGAACTATTCAAAAGGTCGTGGACTTCTTCGTTGTAAATCTCGATAAATGAAATGCGAACTGTGTACTCAATTTTCGAACTGATTTGTTCTAATTCTTCAAATAAATGAATCGCGGCTCTGGGTATTAAACCAATTGTTGAATCTTCAGAATTTATTACTTGATTTCCGATCATTGTGTACGTTTTTCCAGTCCCGGTTTGACCATAAGCAAAAACTGTACAATTATAACCCGAAATAATGCAATTGATAAGAGGTGCAACTACGGAATTATAAATTTCCTTCTGCGAAGTTTCCTCACCAAAAACTCGATCAAAACCATATCTTTTTTCGACAAGACCTGATTTAATAATTATTTCGTTATTTGTCATATGTTGGATAACATTTGTAGAATTTATTGTCAACTCATGTTCACTAAACGGTCTTTGTCTTATGTAGACCTTGACTGGTTGATTCCTCTTTTTAGCGCTTCCGTTATGATTCATAATTTTTAAATTAATTATTTGACGTGTGTCTAACTGACATAATTTAAAAAAAAAATGCAAAGCCGACCTTAATAAACTGATTTGTTACGACACTAGACAATCAATAAACTAACCTGAGTTCTTGGTGGTACATTATTGCCAACAACAGCATTTGGATTGTTTTCCAATTGCTTTTGGAGTTTAACTTGTGTTTGTAAAAGCTCTAATTTCAATTTTTTCTGTTGAAGTTCGATGAGTTCTTTTTGTTTCTGGATTAGTTTTTGTTGCATCGTGAAGGTTTCCATATCCAGAGGAGTGGTTGTTGTTTCGGGGACGATAGGTGTAGCAATTTCAGTTTTGGTTGTTTTAAGAAATTTGGGATTGAAATGAATACTGTTGGAAGTGGGTTGGGCTGTAACTGGCCATGCCGGATCTAACATCCGAATCTGGACATCGATCGCGTATAGTTTCATTTGAGGAAAGACGTTGTTCCATGTTTGACGAAGTTTAAACATTTCAGCACGCGTTTCTTCGTCCACCTGAAAAGTTCGCGGGTTTAATGGGAGTTCGGAGCCTTAACGGCGCCTACTTTACCCGGGCTAAGGCTGAATTTTTTCAAAAAACAAAATTGCTTATGTAAAAAAGATATAATATAGGATGTAAACATAATGTAACATTCATTCCTTTTAGATTTATACTTCATTTAACAATTACATATTATCACATGATAACCTTGTGTTATCAATATATGAACATCAGCTAAATAAAAAAAAAATGTTCGTAAGAAGAAAAACCACTCATTTGTGGAAAATAGGAGGAAAACGGTTTCGATAATAAAAAAAATCACACTGCATAATACCACATTCAAATAAACAAAGTTAATAAAAATGTCAAGTCACAGAAATATAGAAAGACATCTGTAATCGTACTCTAGTAACGATTGGAGTGTCAATAACTTAGTCATAAAAGCTGGTAATTATAAACAGTTTTTATTATTCCTGCAGACAACTGTGCACGCAATAATAAATATTTTCAATACGAGGAGTGTATATGCATATTTTTTTCAGTTCTCTGTGTCATCTACAGAAATAATATTTCATCATCCTGTTAGTTTTTTGATCTTCTTTCACAATGAAAATCTTCGATGTGAATGATCGTCTAAACTTACCACTTTAAAAACGCTGCAGAATGTCTTGACAATATTTTGGCTGAAGAGTTGCATATAAGTTTGTCCAATGTTCTTGGCGATACAGTCGATGAGATACAGAATAGGAAGTTTGACATTGGTCTGAACCTGTTAGGGAATAAACTCACACCATTGTAACACTATTCTGAAGTAACCAATAAAATGCTAGGCCTAATATCACACACTTAAATAATTACCTAAATAAGCAGTCACGTTTGGTTCGTATTGTTTTACACTCTATTTTATAAACACTCATATATTTCTTACAAATTTAAAAAATGGCGTACCTTTGACTTGAATAAAGGACGTCATTTGAAAAATTCGAATAAAATTACTTAAAAGGGGTTTCGGGGCCCCGTAGCGGCCTATAGACGCAAAAATAAATTATCTTACTTTCAAACTGTTTATTAAAATATATCACAAAGAGACTAGAATGAGTTTGGTACGTTACAATGTGTGGCTGGGAAATGTTTTGGGTACAGTTTGGCCCAATTTTAGCTTAAATAACAATCAAAAAATAACCTTTTCCAGATGCTCTTCAATTGCCTGAACGATGTATGGAGCGTGAGCTAGATTTTCTTCCGCTAACATCGTCAACACATTGATTAGTGGTTTACTGTTGAACGTGAGATCTTGGAGGCTGGAGGTGTACTCCGCCTTGATCTCTTCAGGATTCATCGTGGCCTCTGTCAAAATCATGTGAGTGTCCTGGAAAAAAAACAAAAATTAATCAACAAATCAAGATATTTACAGGAAAATACTATACTCCTTTTTTTTAAGAAGAAAGTGTTCAAAGAAATGATTAAATAATACGCTTAAATTGAATTGGACGCGTAATCAGCCTAGTCCATACAATTGAAATAATTTTGAAAGTTTATTATTTTTTTTGTGTAATACTTAATAAAGAGAAAAAAATGCAGGAACAGCAACCGTGTCCAGCTCTAGTCATTCAAAAACCAGTTATATAAAATCCCAAAAACATCATAGTAATTATTATAAATTTAAATATCCGAATACATAGCCAACAGGTTTTACTTTACTGTCACACGTCATTTTTTCCATTGAATAATGCCTCCACAGGCAATAGAAATGTGATAAAAGCCCGCAATGTCACAAAACTAGAAGAAGATGGGTCGGTTAGGTAAGTTGTACGAGAATTTCATCTGAGTTTCCTGTTTCTAAAATTAAACGTCATTGGGAACAGAACGCTATTTTAGCAAGAAAAGCTATGGTTGATTGTAAAGTAAATTTTGAAATTATACAGGATGTTTCACGTAATTTTACGAGGCCTGCGCCTGTAAGATGCAATCAATAATAAATATTCCGATACGACCTCGATTACAAATTTTGAAAAATTGGATAATCTTCTCTAGTTTATTTACCCCTTTCAAAAATTACAACGTCTTTAGTTAATTAGTGATTAAGATAGATAAACTAGAATCATATTCATGCCGTCTCTTGATAGAACACATGATAATTGTTTCTGAAAAACTGCAGTTTATGACTATTAATGAAACAGTGATTAGTTTGACACTACTATCATGGGGTTTCCAAAAATTGAATAATTAAATGTGTATTTTTTGTATCTAGTGTTTTGTGACTTTTGTATATCTGGGTGCGTACATTAGGCGCAAGCCTCCTAAAGTTGTGTGAAACACTCTGTACTATTAAGTTCTGTTAAACAATACATTGTTATCTATTGTACAGCAGTTGTACACTTGAGTGCAAAAAAAACGCAAATTGTTTTTTTTTATAATACAATTTGGCCTGTTAATAAATGCCAGTCTTTGTCACAATTTCATAATTGTCAGGAATCTTTCAAAGTTCTATCAAGTTTTTCCATATTTTTCCATTTCGTTTTTAACAATGACTATGACACTGCACTGGTAAGACCACCAAATAAGACACCTTTTTTGATAGTTTTCTAACCTTTTTAGAAACAACCGTTTTCACACTATGTAAATCTGGGAAAAATTTGACAATTTGCGTTTTTTTGCACTGAAGTGTATGCTTTTCTTTTGAATACATACATGGAGCTAAAATAATGTAACAACAATATTATGATAGAACAATTGCATATTCCAGTTATCTGTGGTCGCTTAAATAATTATTATTGCATCAGATGAATTCCGTTTATACGTAGAAATTAAACATAATAGTTGTTGAAAGTATGTAAAACTTGATTATACATACATGCAATATATGTTCAAGTACAAATTGATCTAATAATCATTTTTATTAACTCTCAGTAAATAACAAATACCAAGACATTTAAACAGTTAACAATGTTCATTCCGTAAATTAAATCCATATAAAACAGAAAAATAGTAACAAGCAAACTACTAAATTCTAATGCAATCACATTTATGCGTAAAACAAACACGTCAGTTGTTTCCAAAATATTTTATCACTAAAAATAGACGTGTTTTATTATAAAAAAAAAAACAGTATCTCAAAAGTTTTACTAAACAACGAATATCTTGTGTTTGAAGTGACATTAAGACACTAAATTAAGTTATTAGCACTGAAGGATTACTGTTATGAGAATCGAACGAGCTTTATTTCTATGGAAGAATTTGGCTTCTTATGGGAACCAATCATAAACACATTTGCAATAATTTATGTCTACACAAAGTCCAAGATTACATTAAACTATACAATCAGAAATGATATAATTCTTTTCAATTTCCCGCATTATCCACATTTTAGCAATGCGTTATCGCAAATTTGGCACAATTTTTTGAATAAACAATCAAGTATCTGTTTGTTTGAATTAGGATTACTGTTATATTGTTTGTAAAAAATATAAATACCAATGATTTAACCTAATTCAGTTGGTGTCATCTTGTGGTAAGCCAAATTAAAAATTTTCAATCAAATAATTCATTTAACTGACTGTTTTCGTTATAACCTTATAAAATGATCTATTGATGAATTGATTAAGGTTTAAATAGCATCGGTAAATATTGATTCTCCAAGTGGGACCTTATCTCAGTTTTCAGACATGTGTTATAATCCGCTTCAAGGAACCATCACACTAGAAACATGCAAAAACCACATAAATATGATAGGGAAAATCAAAATAAAGCCACATTTTGGCAATTTAATAGATATTTGGAGGAAGTTTTGCATTTCAAACAAGCCGAAACATCTGGTCACCCTACGTGTGCCCAAACGTCAAGGTTGTTGCTTAATACTGGCATAAAAGTGTCCTTAACTCACCTTGAAGAGTAAAACATTAATCCCTCAAAAGTATTCATCTAAAAAATGTTTCTTAATACCAAATTTGATTACTTTTGGCTGGAGAAAAGTCCAATTAACACACAACACACACTCAAACAAATATGGCGGACGTTGTACGTTGCGTTTTTTCACTTCTGAAAGCCTAGCCAACTGTGGTGACGCACGAACATGCGCATTCGAACCAGAACGACTTTAAAGAATGCGTGATTCGATTAAAAATTGGAAGTGATTACAGTTCCGAAATAAATTTTCTTTTAAAATTATATTTGGGATATACATAAGTCATTATATCACGTCTTGTGAGTAATTAACAAGAATTAACAAATTTGTTTATAAGGCCAAGCAATGAGCATTATCTTTTGTAAGAAAAAATGTGGCGGCACTAAATGTTGGTACTTTAGTCGCTTTCTGAGGCACCTTTGCAAGGTGGGATTGGGAATAGGGAATCCCGATAGGGAATGTGGTGGGATGTGTCAAATCAGTCAAAATAAATCGACGGTAATACCCGTAAAACAATGAATTGTAGTAGAAAAAAATCAGACATATCTTAAATCGTACCACGATCCAGCTTATCAGTACTAACAGGTGATAAAATTGGTTGTCTATTGTTATCTGGAAAAATGGCTAATTTTTGATATTACCTCAAACCCATATGCACACACCTGTATGACGTAATTTCTTTCAGATGCTACCAGAATGTCGAATTATTTTTACAATAATAGGAAACAAAAAGGTGTCAATTAACTATGGACGACTACAAGTTCTTATTCAAAGTTGTGCTTGTGGGGAACGCTGGTGTTGGTAAGACATGCTTGGTGCGAAGGTTCACACAAGGGTTGTTCCCTCCAGGCCAAGGGGCCACAATTGGTGTAGATTTCATGATCAAAACCGTCGATGTTGACAACGAGAAAGTTAAAGTAATGGAGAAAATTCCCTAGATAATGGTTTCAATTCATTTTTTACAGCTGCAAATTTGGGATACAGCTGGACAAGAACGTTTCAGATCAATCACGCAAAGCTATTACAGGTCAGCGCATGCCTTAATATTGGTCTATGATATTTCGTGTCAACCCACATTTGACTGCTTACCTGACTGGCTTCGGGAAATTGAAGAATATGCAAGCAGTAAAGTCTTGAGAGTCCTAGTGGGTAATATTACTCCTTTCCATTGAAATCAACGTCTTACATTTTTGTTAAAGGAAATAAAATTGATCGGGAAGACAGGGAAATACCTACACATGTAGGAGAAGAATTTGCAGAAAGACACAACATGTACTTTCTAGAAACTTCAGCAAAAGAAGCTGAGAATGTTGAAAGACTCTTCATGCAAATTGCGGAAGATTTGATGAAGGTAAGAATTTCATTAATTTGGTGAAACTGCATTACAATCGCGGTTATGTAATTCAGTTAAATTAAACATTGTACAAAATATTAACTTTACTCTTTGTATACAGCAAGCGCGAAGCAGAGATTTGCCAAGGTACGACGCCACCACGACGAGTATAAATGGGCGTACGTCAACAGTAAGCGATTCCAATTGTTGCAGTAGGTTCCAATAGACCAACTTGACTTAATTTATTTTACTCAGGTCTTTCGTACTATATTTATTTAAAAGTTTATACGTAAATTAATACAGATTGAAGAAATTATTGCAATTGGTTGTGAATATTTATGAATAGTTGACTTTTGTATTGTTGACAACGTTAATAAACTGTGTTTGGAATTGGTTGAGTAATTGTTAGATTGTGCCAATGTGCTTCCTAACAATTTGTTTGTAGTAAATTATACTAGTAACTGGTGCAATTCACATTAGAGCATTTTCATCTCCAAGCCTCGGCTAAGCACAAGTAAACGTAATTTTTTCGTATTCTACGTAAGTTTTTCCCCGATATCTTCTCGTGCCCATTTTTTGATGAAAATGCTCTGGAAATTTATGTTAGCGGACTAGTGCAATATTATTTAAGCCTGTATAGTTTGGTACAAAGCTTGCTTCGCTTTTAACACATGCGGTGCAAGCGATTTATGATCCGTACTGATTGCACTTATTTTTTCTTAAATTTTTCGTATAAATGGTGTAGGTGATTTGTAAGAGATTATTTATTTACATGTTTTTAGTAATATAAGCCAAAGAATAATCATGTAAAAGCAACAAAATTATTAACACAATAAAACTATACACTTTTAAGTCTTTAGTTATTATTGTTGTGCGCTTGACCAAAGTCTTCAATCTTGAGTAAATCTTTGGTGAAGTTGAACAGTTTCTCTTGTAAATCCTCACTTTTGGCGTTCTCGCTCGTCGAAAAAATCCGACAATTGTGAATGTAAGTCCCGCCTTTTCCCTCCAAGTGTGGGGAAAGACAAGCGTGGACAATCGGAATTGCGCCTTGTTCAGGAGTCTGAAAAAATTCCGTTCAATGCAATGAGTAATAATATTGCAGCTATCTTTGCCCATTCATTACCAATGACAGCGTAAAATTAGCCAATAATAAAGTTAAAACATGCGACATAGATAAACAAAACTGTACAATCATTTTCCGGCCTTGAGGACCGGTTCTTGTGTACAGTTCCTTACGCAACGCACCTTAAACATCAAAGACGGTATCCAAGGCGCTAAATTCTTCAAATGTGTGCCATCAAACAGCTCTGTATTTACTATACCAGGATGGACGGAATGTAATTGCACTGGCATATTCTCTTTCTTGCAGATACTTTCCAAATAATTAGTAAAGAGCACTTGTGCTAATTTTGACTGCGCATATGCTTCCGCGGAAATGTATTGATGCCGATTATTAATATCCTCGAATTTGATTTCTCCAACTAGATGGGCACATGAGGAGACGTTGACAATTCGGGATTTTAAAGTCTCAGTTCCCGCGGCGCACAATTGCGGGAGCAATAAATGGGTCAGAAGAAAGTGACCCAAGTAATTTGTCGAAAATTGAGATTCGTAGCCATCGCGACTCTCGATATACGGGCCAAACATTATCCCAGCTAAGGTGTAGACAACAAATATAAAATATAATTAATAAAAGTGACTCACCATTATTGATTAAATAATTTATTTTCGGGTGTTTTTCTGCTACTACTTTAGCAAAACTTTTAACAGAATCTAACACACTTATGTCTAATTTGTAAACGGTGATATTCCCCGTTGTTACCCCACTGTCTCGGCATTTTTGTAAGACTTGTTCTCCTGCTTGAGTATTCCTGCAACCTATTTATTTAACTTTAGTCGTGTCCTTATTACGTAAAATTACCAATTATAACGTGTATGTCACACTGAAGTAGCATTTTCACGACTTCAGCCCCTATTCCTCTGGCACCTCCAGTAATTACGGCGACTTTCCCGGACAAAATCGGCAAGTCTAAATTATTATTAGTGTTATTAAAGTTATTATTAAAAAATGCTTACCCGTTTTGTTTCTACTCCGCATAAACACATCCTCAATGATAGCCCTGGATCCCACTGCATTGTAAAGCAATTCGTATTTTGCTTCAGCTAAGATAGTTTTTAAAGGTTTTTTTGAGCGCCATATCGCCACAATTGTGACGATTATGATTATCCCACAGCCAATTAATAAAAACATGGATTCAAAACATTAAAAAATGTTGCGACGGTTGTGCTGTTTAGCTCTAACTAAGCGACTTTCTCGGACACGACTTTCTCTATTTCCGACGAAGACGGAGATAAGTTGAGTGGGTCTAGCTGAGTCAGGAGAGGTCTTGAGTAATGTTCTAAGAGAGTTTGGAAGGAATCGGAAATTTCTTGTTCATAAACTCAAATACATTTTTGTCAATTTTCGAAGCAACGGCTCTTTTGTCCTCTGTATTTGGAGCATATCCCATTATTTAAGTATAAATTAAAGATTTTAACGGTGAAACCACAATTCTACTATTCTATTTAACGGTAACACTAAAATTATTTCTACAACAGAAATCTTGTTTTAAATTAGGATATAAAGATTAACATATCTGTAAAGAGAACAAGGGTCAATTTGTGGTGTGAAGGTCGCAGTTTTCTAACTCGAAATCATTATTTCATTATTAATTATTTGTTTTTGGCCCCTCTCGCCCTTTTGGTTGTCAAATGTCAAAAACAGGTGTTACACTATTGCGACATCTAACCATTCAATGCAAAAGTACCCATTCGGATAAATTACTGCATAACAATTAATACTTATAAATGAGTATTTAGATCAAGCTCCATGTATTTAACGCCAGCAAGGCCAATTTGTGCTTATGTATTAATAAAAAAGCTGTTTTGGGTGATAGTTTTGGATCAAAAATTACAGTTTCCTTTTTTTCTGCAAACGTCAAAAAATCAGAAGCAATCTCATGGAAACGTAAATGTCACTATGTCATTGCGTGTTTACGAGCAAGTGAGATATGCACGTACCGTCTTTTTAGTCGTAAAAATCAAACATTAACATTATACGGACGTGCTATTTTGCAAAATTTGTTAAACAACTACGTGGCATTGTAGCGTAAATCAGTGGTGTTTTCCAAATCTCGAAGAAATGAGTGACAGTGCGGGGCCATCGAGTAGTACAGATCAAAGACAACGAGGGTTGAACGTAGAAGCTCTCAAACAACATATTCTCACTCATAAAATCGATTGTGGTTTATGGGCAATTCGAGTTTTGACAATTCTTTTCACTTGTGGCTACTTTTTGCCAATTTTTGGGTAAGTTCAGGAAGGTAGCCTTGTACTCATGTTAATTACAGGTAGTCGGTTGATAACCGGTTGCTCTTGGTTTATATAAAATTAATTGTCAGATGTTTAGGTGAAAAAACCATGGCATGTGCAAAAATGGACATTGTACTTGGTTAAGGATCCTAAGAGTGAAAAGTAGCCCATCACACATGCACTTTCTTTTGCGTCAACTTTCACTCACTGAGAAATTTTTGTTGTGTTACAGGAGTGCTCAAAATGCCTATTATAAGGCTCTCATTGCGAATGCTGCCATCAATGCCCTCAGGCTGCACCAGAGGCTGGGGAGGGTCAGGTTGAGTCGTGAATTTGTCGCACAGTTGTTGATGGAAGATAGCTGCCATTATCTCTTCTATTCCATGATTTTTATCTATGTGGCACCCTTGACTTGTATCCTTCTATAATTAACGTGAATTGATTCAATTGGAGCACTACTGGATTCATTTCCTTAACTAGAATACAGTGGTTTTGTTGCCTGTTGTACTGTTTGCTATTCTACATTCGGCCAGTTATTCACTGACGCTCCTTGATGTAATTATTTGTTAGACTACAAGTAACATTTTGGTAAAATTTTTATTTACAGACTTTGGGGCAAAATTCCTGGTGGGGCGCTCGCCTTTTGATATCTTTGGTTGAATTCCAGTCGCTGAATATTTTGAGACTAATTGCGTTCACTGAGATTATTATGATGCCACTTACAGTACTTTTTGTCGCTATGTAAATAATCTAAATCAAGTAATGTATTTTATTAATTTTTTTTTTCAGGGGACGGGCTAGTCTACTGACACCTTTTATCTATTATCACTTTTTAACTCAAAGATACACATCAAGACGTAACCCTTATAATAGAAACATGTTTCACGAACTGCGAATTTTGTTTGAGAAGACAGCAGCAAAGCCCACTTTACCATCCTTTGTTAAATCTATTTTATTGGGGATTATCAATTTCACTGTTAAATTGGCGCCCCCTCAAGCTCAAGCCCAGCATCAACAGTGAGCTAACTCTTCGTGTATCCTCATTATATCAAATGTTCGTGATATGGGTAATTTTAACGCCTAGTATTGATTTGCACTTGTTTGGTCCATGTTCAAGCAATTTTTTGCACCAGTTTGAGGTATGGTTGTAAAATTTCGTCCGTTACTTTTTTTATATACTTTTAACCCAGGAATGAGTTTTTTTATTAATTTTTAGTATGGATGGTGTTAAGTAGTTTTGTTATATCGTTATAAACGCATTATTCTCATGGAGGTTTCTGTTACACAACCCATTCGAATAAAATTTTCTCCATGTTGTTATGTTAATAAACAAAAGTTTGTAATTTCACAATAAAAAAATATTTAAAAAAGGATGTTTTATTTAATGAAACAAGTTATCTTTCCAAATTTTATTGAAAATTAATCTTATGATAAACTTAAGCCATTACTGGAATAGCTGGTGGTGCATCAGGTTTGACTGCTTTGATTTCACTGCTGGGGAAGGCAGGCAAAATTTCCTCTTTTGGTTCCACAACAGATACATTGTCAGGTAGTGGCTTTTTGGGGCCTGTTTTACCGCTGGGGTCCCACGGCAACATAATCTTGACCTAATACAAACAAAATGGTACCGCACAAAAATCAATTTTAAGAAAAAATCACCTTAATTCCAAGCACACCTTGTCTTAACAAGACATGGCGGGTGGCTGTATCCACATAATCATTGCACGGGTCACCAGAATGGATCATGAGACCGTCAACAAACTTCATCGATTTCGCTCTTTGGCCACGTAGTTTTCCAGAAACTACAACTTCACACCCTACAAAATAATCAATTAATTATAAATCATATTGTCTTGAACCAAACCTTTAGCGCCACATTCCATGATGTACCTCAACACACCATAGCAAGCCCTTCGCACAGCCAAACCTCCAATCAATTTGAATCTAAGAGACTCGGCTTGGGCAATAGCACAAAGACCCCTGTTGGCCACTTTTTCACCATACAAAACCACAGAATTCTCAGGGAAGTTGAAACGTTTCTGTACGACAGAAGTCAATTCGCGAATACGACGGTTTTTCTCCCCCAAAACTCGATCAGTACGTGTGGCCATAATGATGATTTCCGTACGAGTTGGGGTAACTCGGACCTCAACCCCGGAGTACCCATCTTCTGATAACTCGCGAGTCAAAAACTCGTTTAACTCGGCTTTGAAAACGCCATCGCCAACAAACTACAAATAAGTGAAAAATCAATTCGGTAAAGTGGGGACCACATGTGGAAGAATATTAGGTTATGTTGTGGGGAACAAGTAAACATGATCGTTACCCCACAAAACTGAAGTTATTTTACAACATTTTGGGCTTAAAATATGAGTGGAATGTATTTAAAGAGAAAGAAGCGTCAATTTAAGCTATTTACCTTGCGTTTTTTCGAAATAGGAGTCGCCATTTTGACGTTCTTTATGGAAAAGATTTGACGTGTGGTGAGCGGAAGTCGTCTTAATTACAAAAGGATGTAACAGAGGGCGTTTGAAAATGCGGCTTATTTGAATTATTTTTATCGCTTATTAAGAGGTCTAATTAATAAAAAAAAATACTAAAGGGTTATCGCTTAAATAACCTGTCTAGAAGAACAACGCAATCGTCATGTTCCAGTTGTAAAATTACTGTCATTGTAAAAATGATTCTCAAGTTATTACCTATTGTGCTTTTTTGCAAAATTGTGAATTCTTGTCTTTATAACACATTTCATAATACTTCAGTTACTGTAGCCAGGATTAGAAGACCCATAAGTACCATTAATGGTTGTTTTGGTCCTGATAAAAGTTTGGAGCGAGTTTCCCTCATACAAATCATAAACGAAACAGTGCCAATTTTATACGAAGAAGCCTTCAATAATTTACAAGATTTACTCGATATAGTATTAGAAAACGATGGAATTAAAGAAATAAAACCGGGAGCTTTCAAAAACCTCTCAAAAATATATTTAATAAGGTTGAGATACAATGAACTCAGTGTAATACGAGAGGGTGTTTTCAATAATTTATCATTATCAGAACTGAACCTGGTGAACAACAAAATTGAACACATTGAAACTGGAGCCCTGGACAATTTACCCAATTTAAATATTTTACTTCTTAGCGATAATAGACTGTCAAAATGGGACCCAAACTGGTTTGAAGGAAGTCCAAAAATTACCGTTTTAAACTTTGAAAATAACTTAATCAGAAAATTGCCTCATAGAGCGTTTCAAAATATCAATGGTGTCCACGTGGTGAATAAAATTAATGTCTCAACGAGCATCCATTTAAATAAAAATAGAATTCAAGAAATTGAAGATGGGGCTTTGGACGGATTGGAGACTTTGGGATGGTTGTTTTTGCAACGTAACGAAATTCATGATTTTAATTACAAATCTTTGGGAAGTTTAAAACAACTGGATTGGTTGCGACTGGAAAATAATAATTTGGAATGTATTCCTGAAAATTTAACAATAATTGCGCCAAATGTAAAGTATTATCTTGACGGAAACCCCTTGACAGAAGAATGTATTGAGCAGTTGAATATTAAGAAAAAGAAAAATGGTTTTCATAAAAATGAATTAAAAATTTCAATAAATTGATTTTTAAAATAATCTAGTTTTATTGTAATTCTGTTTTCGGTCATCTATTTCTTAATATTTGTGGTTTGACAACATACTTTGAGGTTATGTTGTGACATTTTACAATGTAAATAAGAAATCATGTTGAAAAATTAGAAATATTCTATTTCACTCGTAATTATAGTTATTTGAAAACTGTACTAGGATAATGTTTCAAGATAATTAAATTAATAAACATGGCGTCAGCAACAGATAGTTCAGTATTATCATTGTTACCAAAATATCTGTTTTGATAAGAATGGCTTCGTGGAGTACCTACTTGCAGGGGTTTTTTTACATTGCTTTACTATTTTTTGTCATCCCTATAAGAATAAAAGGTCCTGATCAAGCGGAAGACCAATTTCAGGAATACTTGAAAAAATTTAACAAGACATATGATGACCCCATTGTGTATCAAAACCGATTTCAAGCATTCAAGGTAAGTTTTGTCATTTTCGTCTTTATTGTCTAACTTATTTTTTCAGAAGTCACTAGAAACAATCGAGACTTTGAATACCAAAAAAAGGAATGGTTCAGCAATGTATGGTTTAACAAAATTCTCAGACCTGTTACCAGAGGAATTTTTTGAAACTTATTTACAATCAAATTTGAGTCAGAAGACGCATTCAAATCAGCCAAAACGACACCGCCACAAACGTGCCTCAGTCCCAAACAAAGTAGATTGGAGAGAAAAAAATGCAGTGACAAAAATTTACAACCAAGGGAATTGTGGGGCCTGTTGGGCTTACTCCGTCATTGAAACGGTGGAGTCCATGAACGCGATCAAAACCAACAAATCGGAAGAACTCAGTGTGCAGGAGATCATTGATTGCGCTGGGAATAATAAAGGGTGCAATGGAGGAGATATTTGTACTTTACTGTCTTGGATCAAAAACACAAATTTTACAATTCAAAGACATGCCGACTATTCGGGTAAATGTAGACGTGGCTCAACTGGTGTCCAAATTCGAGACTTCATGTGTGAAGGGTAGGTTTAAAAAAATTTCAAACAGATAGTTTTATTCAAAATTTTAGACTAGTGGGGTCTGAAGATGTCATGTTGAAGCTTTTGGCAGATAATGGACCTTTGGCTGTGGCGATTAATGCGCAAACTTGGCAAAATTACATTGGAGGTGTCATTGAGTATCACTGTGATGGAGATCCATCAAAGCTAAATCATGCCGTCCAGATTGTTGGGTATGATTTGACTGCAAATATTCCACATTACATTGTGCGGAATACATGGGGAGAAGATTTCGGAGATAGGGGATTTTTGTATGTAGCTGTCAATAAAAATATGTGTGGGATTGCAAATGAGGTCTCCGCATTAAGAATACTGTGATTTAGGTATCATTTTATGTAGAGAATGTATAGGTTTTATATTCGAAATGTGATTAAATGTTTTTTTATTATGTTGGTATTTGTTATTTTTCAATTCAAAGCCCACTTAAACAAGAATACAAGAGTTTTTTTTTTCTGCAAAAGACAACAAAATTTGAAAAAACAATGTATTGTTTATGCCACAGGGGTAATAATTACTTCGTATTGTTACATTTAGTACTATACAGGCTAGAATAGGAAAAACGCCCCAAGCCCATAACTGTATTATTTTTAAATACCTATATTTCATTACTTCTAATAACAAAGTTGCACAGTTTATTGTCATCTATTGTTTGGGACCGATGCTCAATCAATGTTGCTTCCTGTTTCACCAGAACTGACATTAGTTTCAGTCTTTTAAATGGAACATCCTATATATTTTCGTATTTTTGAATTCCTTGTCAATTGTCTTTCAATAACAAGCTCACTATTATTTATTACTAAATTTTGTTTTTAGGTAATTTGAAAATAAAATTAAAATAAAGTAGAGAATAGAACATTTTTATTCATTTTATCTGTGACAAGCAAACGACTGATAACCAAAAAAGTGTTAAATTTTAATCAAAGAAGTATTCTAACGTCTCTAAAAATAATAAAATTGTTGGAATTGTAATTTAATCGAATCTCCCGTGATTAGTCGGCGATGATGACAACTGAGAGAATATAAATAGTTACGTCACATTCTTGTTATAAATAACAACTTCCTTCCAAATTCTGTATTTTGTGTGATCAATAAACCAAATAATTCTAACAAAAATTATAACCCGGGGCGTATTTTATAATCCATCCTGTATATGATATTGAATTTTTTTTAAATCCATTTCATAAAATCCAGTAAAAAATTCAATTTTTTCCGATAAGAAGATAACATATTAAGGTAGAAAGTAATTGAGAACTTTCCTAAATGAAGATCATTGTTCAAGGAGGGTCATCTATTTTTACCTCCTGTCTCCAAAGTTTTGTCTTTAGTTGCCGACAAATACAGGATGCCCCAGAACTCGCACCCCAGAGAAAAATGTGATGAACATGGAAAAAAATATTAAAAAAATTCTATCTATAAAAATTTATTTATTTCTGTTGGAAAAATAATTTTTACAAAATTACACAGGGAAGTGGCCACTATGAATTGACCACGATCATCAGTATCATTAAACAGACATAAAAAAATGTCAAATGTATAAATATAAATGTAAATTTTTTTTGACAGATTTTTTTATGGTGGATTTATGCTTCCATATTTAAGAATTATCATTTAAGATTTATTTAAGAATCAACAGTTTTGACATTTTACAAAATTTTCGAATTTAAAATAAATCAAAATTAAACAAAAAGTAGTTAATTTAAAGATACACCTATGTATTTTACACTAACATTTGTTAAATTAGTGACGATTTGTGACAATCTATAAACTATATTCTCTAACAGTTTCGACGATGCAACGTCTTCCATATTAATTCTTATTATTTCAGAGAAAAGTTTTACTTTTCAACAGGAGCGTCATTTAAAATTTTCTTAAGAGGTGGCAATAAGTTGATTATCACCCGAGTTAGCTTTTAAAATTAATAAATATACCGGTAGATAATAATTTTAACACATATGTAAGGAACTGCATATAATTTATTCATTCAAACAATATAAAAATAAAAACAAACAGTAATTTAAATAAAATTAGATGGAGTAATCTTAGTCAGAGGGGGGCCATTTTGTCTGTTATTTAACGTAATAAGTTGGGAACTCATAAATTAAATTAAATCTTAAATACTAAAGCTTAAATGATAGTATAATAAATGTTACCCTTGAAAATGCATAACTGATCGATGTTCTTAAATGTAAATTCTTAAATTAAATCTTAAATGATAAATCTTCAATATGGAAGCATAAATCCACCATTAAACATTTTTTCCACGTTTCTGGTATCTTATACCTTACTTGAAACTTTTCTCTGGAGCGCGAGTTCTGACACACCCTGTATTAATGCTTTAATTTACTTCTGCGTAGTTATTTTCATAGATATTACTTTAATTTTTAGTTCTGATTGCTAGCACAGACTACACAGTGAAATAAAAAACGGGAAGAAATGTTGACTCTTCGCCAGATTATCGACGTGTTGAAAAAAATTTGGCCGCCGTCGACTATTACGATATTTTGGATTTTAACAGCTCTATTTGATACTACAGCATCACGTATGTTTATTATACGAAAAAGAGGGATCTGGGTAATAGGCTGATGAAAATAATTTCCTCAAAAAATGATTAATAAATATTTTATTATTTGTTCCTGCTGTCAAACAAATACTAGCAAATAGTAACGAATGAACAACAGACTGAAAACGACATTTTTTCGACGTCTTCCTTGAATAATACTGCTGCGTAATCCTTAAAATCGAAAAAACCTACCTGTGATCTTTCGGTTTGAGCAGCAATAATATTATTAAATTAGTAACACATTTGCCACAGTAAGTGTACATTTGGCTGCACTGTTTTTACATTAGAATCTCATTTAAAGTCTTAAAGGTTGATGCCACCTGCTAAACCAAAAGATGCTTATCACGTCACAAACAAGTCGATGGTAGGATAGCTCTCTTTGAATTGTGGCTTATTTGTTTAATACTTAACAATGGAACGCTGATTTTGTTACATAATTTAATTAATTAAAATATATTTAGTTAGTAAACTGATTTTATATTTAAATTGTGTATTGTATGGAATTCATCCCTGAGGCAAAATTTATTAAAACACATTTTATAGGTAAGAGTACCAATAATAATTAAAAGTGATAAAAGCTGAAAACGACCATTTGAATTTTAATTCCACTATTCTGTACGAAAGTGCTTACCTTAGTGTTTTTGTAGTGGGTACTTGCTCACTTACTTATTTAATTAGGAACGTCAACTAAATTACAGTCAGGTGGTAACATTGTATTGTGTAATTAATTGGTTTTTACTATATTAGCTATTCGTAATTGAAGCTTGGTTATTCTTTGTGTGAATTCTCGCAATACTTACCTTTGATTTATTTCAACGCTGTAAAATGAAATGTTTACTGGGAGCAAACTGTGTATCGTGTTTGTATTTTTCCTAGTCTACTAATAACTTAGGTTTAATACGTCTACGATCATGTCCCAAAATTAGGTGCCATCTACTATCAGGTTCGGCTACTACCACGATAAGGACTGGATTGACAAGGGTTCACTGTTAATCTACTAAATAAGTTGATTTAATTTCAAGCAAACGAAATGCTTTATTAGATACACCACTGCAATAATACACGCTTGTAACAAACTGATATGACTTAATCATCAAATATTGTACTCATTGTAGAGTAGAAATGACTAAATGTTAAATAAATAATAAAATTTATAACGATGAGACTGAACATGCGTCGGGAGCGTCTGTTGTGCCGTGTGGGTGGTAGTTGCAAAAAATGACCACAATCAGCACAACATCGCTCCTCACAAACATCTTTGTCAGTTAGGTCAAAATCGCAACATTATGGGCGCGCTGTTCACTGCTCTTGGGCTTTTTTAAATAATTTAATCAAAGGGGAAAACAAGTTTTCTTTTTTTTCATAATAATGTCGATGGAACTGCACAACATTGTTTTTTTTTAAATATTAATTACTTCGTAAAATTGACCTGAACTCTATTGACTAGGCACACTTAGTTTATATAATAACAAGAAACTGTCCTATGAAAAATAGAAACTTCCGACAATAAAAGAAACAGACAAATAATCAAATAATAGTGTCGACGCGGACGCGTCGACCTCACAACGGTCTCATTTTTTTTTCGATTTTTAAAAATACTTTATCATTACAACATATAAATTATCAAGATATTCTTGTAACAGGACCAACAGTGTATACATGTAATGCTTTAGCCAGATAATGTGCTCCATAATAATCAAGTGACAATCACACACTAATTATGTTTTTTTCTAATATTAACGATCATATACAAAATAAACCATCTGTTCGGAATGTGTCGAGTTCCAAAGAAAACTTCAACCGAGAAGAACACCTTAATTTTATCATCGTAACATTTTGATTTAACAACTTTGAAAATACTTTGGAATAGAGTAGTTGCCAACAAGTGGAGTAACGTTATTGTCCACTGCCGCAATAAACGAGTGAGGTGCACTTGGTGTGGGGGTGCGAGGGCGCATGCACAGACTAGGCCAAGCGGCGGTAGAGGCCACTACTGCGTCAACGAACACGCTCATTTCATTTTTACAATGATTTTTTGTTTTTTTTTTGGCTAAAATTACACCCGCTCATCGAGTTGATTGATTATGTAAGTAACAAACATAGCTCAAAAATATATATTACTCACAATATATATTGCCTTGATTCAATTTTGCAAATATAAGTAAGTACTTACTACAACGCATCAGTCTTACAGTTGAGAGAAGAGCAAAAGCTTAGGCGCGGACAGCTCGCGGCTACTAATTAATAATAAATCCTACTCAATTAACGATAAACACACACGAGACACGGACAAGCAAGCGGCGGCGGCGGCGGCGGAGAGAAGCACATTATCGGGAGTGATGGGGCAACACGACGGTCGGCGACGGCGGCGATATGTGTCACGTGGCCAACACAACACTACACAGATATAACACGCACTATTGCTATCAAATATAGAATATCTGCGATTTGTCTGCGCGACCTATGGCAGGAACGATGATGACGGACAAAGCGGCTAATGCTAGGTGGCGTCCGGGGCCCCCGCGAGACTCTCGGGGCCACGGTTCGAGTCCCTGTTCCCGAGAGCCGCAACAGGCGCGGGCGCCGTGGAATGTGCGGCCTCACAACAAGAAAACACTCAATATAATGCTCGTATTGTTACAATAACCTTAAGTGTAAATGTGATAAACTCGGTCAGTCCTAACAAATACCTACTACTACCTTATCAAAGAGAGAGACATACGTCGCAGTTTTTTCAATACAACCATAATAAGGACGTACAAAGCACATAAAAATACAATATATCATTAATTTTTTGCTTTTGATATAAAACGACTAGACTAGAATACGACGTAAGCAGCTACTTTTGGTCGGTCCGCGCGAGCTTTGGTCCGCGGGTTCCAGCCAACAAGCAAGGAGAATTGGTGTGATCAGTACAGTCAGTACAAGTTTTTCCTTTTTACAGTACAACACGTACAATGCTTTTGGTGTTCGTACTTCACGAAGAGGTGTGGTGGAAGAGCGTACGCTTTATTTTTTTGAGTTACGGATGCGGCGCGGGCCCGGCGCCTCCGCCAATTTTCACGAGAGCAAAAGACGACGGTGACGGTTCGGGGCGGGCTGCAGGTGGTGTGTGCAAAGTGATAATAACATCGGGGGTTGGGGAAGGCATTTCCGATAATCACAGTCTGTTAAGAGGTTCTGTTCGAGCGCAATACCGGGAATAGGTGCTCGGAAGTGTGGACTCTGCGGCGTGGCTCATTATTAATTAACAGTGCACAACAACAATCTACAACATGAGCAAAATGTATAAAAATTTATAATCTGGAACAACTCATGCAGCGAATAACAAGAGATTGTGCAACGGGAATGTGAGTGCGGCCGTTGGCGGCCAAACAACGAGGTGAATATTTTAGAGAGACAAATGGAAACAGACGACACACTAGGAGCGGTGAGGCGGAGCGGAAAGTGATGGAGGTCTTTAGTGCGGTTTGTGGTGGTGGTGGTGGTGGTGTGCTGAACCGGAGGAGACGACACTACATATGTACACACTCCACGTGGATAAAATAGAGTAATGTTCCCTAGAGTAATTGACATGAAGGTAAACGCAACATATTCAAGTGACAGACCCCTGGGCAGACGGCGGCCGTCCCATTGTGCGCATCTTGCTGGAAAGGTGGACGGCCGACACCCTCCCCGGAGGACTATTGCATCTGCGTATCACTAAGTTCGTTACCAGAAGAAATGTGTTGTTGAATCAGTCTTACCGAAAATGCTTTTTTAATCTTGTTAGTTTACGCCTAAACTCACACAACGCAAGCCTCTCTAGCGAGACTGCCTACAAATAAGTTAAAAGTATCCAAACTACCTTGCTACTAATACTAATGACTATATATGATAAGAAAAAAATCACACATGCCTATATATCTATACCTATATAGGATTTGCTTAGTTGGGCCCAGGAAGATTGTTCAATATCAATAGTATTTTTTTTCTCAATATATCATAATTATAACGTTACACAAGCTGCTCCCGCAGGAATACAATAATTAATATCATCACTTACGTTCTAAGTATAAAAGTTTACAGTACAAGTAGAAAAAAAGAAGAAAGAGGGCTGCTTCAACAGCCGTGCCGTGCTCGAAGCTAGGTGATCACTCGGGGCGGTGGGGGACTAGGATAAGAAGGTTGGGCAATCTCCAACATCACAATACCAAAAAAAATAAATAAATAAAACAAAATAAAAATAACTGAAAACTGCAAGAATTGGTATTATTAATTAAAAAGCATTTACAACAAAAAATCAAAGAAAACAAAACAATGTACATTTAATTTAAGAACAATTTTACCATTAAAATTAAGATAATAATAATAACAACAAGTTTAAAAAAATTCTAGTAATACATTGGGGCGCCGTAGCCATCCTGGTCGGGTCATCCGCGCCGGTTTATTCTCAAGGTGCCTCGCCAAGGACGTCTCAGGAACAATAGAAAAAATAGAGCGTACTCTGAACAAGACATTAAAAACAACATATATAACACTTGTCGGTGAGACACCAAGAGACAACATTTCGGCGACCAGACGAGTGACGGCGCGGCGCAAGTCACGGGACTGCTGGTAAAATGTGGGATTGAGATCGCTCAGCCCCCGTGTTCTGCGATCATCGCCTCCGGTTTCAAAAAACAACAATATAATAATAATATAAATAATAATACGCAACGAGGCGGAGCGGGCGAGGGGAATCGCGATCAAATAGAGAGAAAGAGAAAATTATAAAGAGAAATACGGCGACGACTACGACGCCATCCGCCCGCTCGCCCTCACCATTTCTAACTAAAATAAAACCCTAGCTACTAAGTAAATAGTCTTGTAGGGCGCGCCTGCGGCGGCGGCAGCGTCCGCGATTCGCGACCGCACGCATGCTCGTGCGGCCAGCGTCACTATCTTAAACTCGGCAGCATCAACAAACAAATATATTCTACTGCTACAACTAACTCATATAATAATTAAAAAAAAAAATAATAATGAAGGATGGTGTGAAGTATATTGCATGCACCACAGGGAGAGTTGCAATTTCTTCCTATGTAGTTTTTTCTAACTTAAGAGATATGGTGTAATAATACCACTATTTATAAATCATAACAAAACTAAAAATAAACAACGCCCGAGCGACTGGAAGTTGGGGGCACGGCACGCTACGGTGTCGAACAAAGCACAGTAATAGTAAAGACAATAATAATAATACAAAAAAAAAACATACAAAAAGGAGGGGATATAATAAAAAATAATCAATAATAATATTAAAAGAAAAAAAAACTGTTACAAGTACAGTTCGTGGGTGACTAGGGTCGCTAACAACGCGGCATCCCGCAAACAACAACGCGCTATACTAAGGACATACACAACATCATACACGCATATTAAAATAGATCATCATATCGTATCGGAAATTGATGCTCGACTTAAATACAACAATGGCCCAGGCACCGCTATGCTGCTTGGTTTATTATTCTTTAACATTTCTAAAATGTGAATTATAATATCCCTGTTTTGAATTAGTGATAGAATTGGTCATTCAACACGGGTGACGGGCCGCGCTCCCTGAAGGAGCAGGCAGGCTTCCTGTCTCAAACGCATCGTCAAATATCGTACATACTATCAATAAAAAATATCAACATTGTGAAGTACAATACAAAACTATGACGACGACTGCACATCGTTACAATTTTGGACAAACTTTAAATTTATAAATTGATAAATACAAATAGTAATAACAGACCAGCAATCCGAACGCTTCGTTCAAAAATGCATCAACAAAAAGTGTCGGGAACGGCTGCTGGAGACCCTGTCTCGTGACGATCTCGCTCCGTCTACAGACCAATGGGGGGCACCTGCACATAGCGATAGATGTACAGACGGTAATCCTTACTGGCCAATACTACGGAGCCGTCGTCCATCAACGCAACATCGAAACATTGGGCGTGCTTCACTTTGCTCTCTAACGCAGATACTAGTTGTCCGTCTTGGGTGAAGATGGTCAAGTTAAAGTTGTTGTGGTTATCGGCGATCAGAATCTCGCCATTGGCATTGATACCGACACCTATCGGGTAGTTAGTGATGCCTTCGCCACCGATTTGTCGCAGATAAACACCCTCGTAACTGAACACCTTGACGCAGTGAGCACGATTATCGCTGATAAAGATCTCCTGTTTGTCGTTGACGACGACGCCGTTCGGAAACTCCAAGTGCTTCGAACAGCCAAACTTTTGCAAAACAGTCCCGGTTTGATCGAAGATAATCACACGCATCACTTTACACTCGACGACGACAATGCGGCCCTTGTTATCAACGGTAACACCGCGTGGATGCTGTAGGATGTTGGCGCCGAATTTTCGCACAAACTGTCCGTATTGGTTGTAGATTTGGATCTGGTGCGTGGGCGAACGCTCTGTGACGATGATGTCGCCTGAGGTACGCACAACGGCGACGCGATTCGGGTAGAGAAGTTGGCCGTCGCGTTTACCACACTCGCCGAATTGGAACTTAAAGCGGCCTTCTTTGTCAAAAATCTGGATTCGATGATTATTCGTGTCGGCGACAATAATGTCGTTTTGAGCGTTGACCGCAACGCCGCTCGGTTCAGTAAATTGACCTTCCATCACGCCAAACTCGCCAAACTTGCAATGGTAGATCATCTTTTGGCGTTTGATTTGAGATTTCGGGGGAAATATCGCCGTGGACATCAATTTCGATGTGAGATCGAGCATGGGATCGCTATGACCGGTGCTCGTTAACGAATAGGGATCGCTGCTGCCGTTTTGGAACATTGTGTCGGTACCACCATTCGACCATTTTTCGTAAGGGTTGATACCGTTGAGATTCAAATCACCGATTGTCGTTGAAAACGGTCCCAAACTATTGGCACTGCTGAATCTTTTGCTGATTATGTTTGATTCAAATGGAGAGGTTGATTGGCTGGAGCCGGAAATGGTAAACGGGCAGTGGATGCCGCCGTTTAGACTCCCCGAACTGCCATTGACGCTGCTGCCGCTGGAGCTGGAACCGCCGGTGGGACGGGCAATAGGTGGTTGCTTGCTAGGTCCCACCACGGCTTCAGAATTCGATCGGACGTAACCAAATGTGTTACGGACGCCCACTTGGATCGCTTGATAATTCGAGACAAATTCCAGTTCGCATGCTGATTGCACGCTCTGATCTATGTTGTAACTCAAAAGGCCTTGCAATTTCGTATCTAACAATTTCCTAATCATTAAAATTTCAACAATGGTAGCACATTTGTTCAGTCTCTCGACGAATTCGCACGTTTTGTAAATCTGTTCGACCGTTTCTTGACCTTTCTGTGTTGCTACGCCAAGAGAGATTTGTTTTGCCGAAAATACACTCTCTAGTTCTTTCAAAAGTTCCTGTTTCCGCTCCTCCAACATCGATCGGTAGAACATGAACGTGTCGTTGATTTCGTTTTGGGCTTTGTGGTATTGCACCTGCAAGCGACTGGATACGTGTTCGACATTTTTAAGAATGTTGCGTATGTCGGTGGCTTTAGTTTTAGCCTCTTGTACCGCATGTTGGATCGCTTCGACTTGTTTTGGAGCCGCTTCGCTGATATGTTCGTATTCGTGTATACCGGCTGGATGTTCTAAATTCAGACACTCTTTGCATATTGGAATCGAACAAGTGCGACAGAAATATTTCAAAAGTTCGCCTTTGTGTCGTGGACAGACCGTGTTTTTATTTTCACCATTGGTGATTGTGGAATTCGAGATCAGGCCGTTCTTGGATTCATCTTTGATTTCGTTCAGGTTGACGACTCGATGGCCTTCGAAGCAGTGCATAAACTGATGAGCCATGACGCAGTTCGGACACAGATAATTGGCACAATCGACGCAGCGGGCAACCGCGTCTAGTTTCTTGGTCTTACAGCCGGTGCAACGGACCGTCGGATGAAACGAGTCTGTCGTTGAGTCCGAGCTAAAAAGCAAGCTATTGAGGATGCCTTCGATCGATTCCGAGTTGCACCGTGGGCAGATGAGCTTGTTCTTTTCAAGACAAGGATTGCAAAAGGTGTGGAAGCAGGCCAAGAGTTTGGGGTCGGCCACAGGCTCGCGGCACTGCTGGCAATGGAGCTCAGAGGGGTCGCTGTCTCGATCGACGGAATCGCTGACTGGGGGCGACGAACCACTCACTGACAATGGGGAATCTTCCAGGGGAGATAGGGACAAATAGTCGGCTTGGTCACCAAACGATCCAACGGAGTTTGCTCGTGGTAGTGATTCAATTGAAGGAGTCGGAGATGCCATCTTTAATTACCCGTCATCCCTGCAACAACCGAATCTTCAATTAGTAAAACGTCGGCACGAGGGCATCGAACGCGATGGCGGCGCGACGCGACCGTTATTTATTCATCCCCCGATTGCAGCCGATGAATCAGCGGCGTCGGGTGCATCCTGGGGCTGTCAAATCGCGTGGGGGCGAAGTGTTTAGACGTGTCTGGCGCGGAAAGAGGAGGCGGTGGACGATCGATGTGCCGACCGAGGGGACTAATGCTGTTGCCAAGGTAACGCTGTGAGGGCTGCAACCCCGACTTGAATTATTGCTGCAACAAGGTGGCTGAAGCACCGCTCCTCTAGACCAACAGGGCCGAAACCGCCATTCACTCGAAACGTAAGTACTTACAATAGAGGAACTGTATTTACAGACGAATTGTAACCGGTTACCGGCGCCGTCGCCGCCACCGCCACCGCCAATGCAGTCGCCGGCGGCGGCGTGCTGTCCGTTCAATATCCTTGTGCGTTGTTTGTTGCTTTGCTACAACACTGCGTCATTCGCTACCTGTTGCCAAGGCTTGTTAAGCAAACGAATGGACAAACGCTTAACCGTCTTCAAAAAAAAAACATGCAGTCCGCAACTCGGAAAAAAATACAAAAATGGATCGATCATCGACAGCATGACGTGAAAGGGTTGCCGACTGCCCCTCGTCTCCACAGCGAGACTATTAGCAAAGTAACCCGATGCCACACTGGCCTCAGTCACGATAATTCGTGGAAAATTCCAATATTATGCTAAACATTTTATCCCGGTATTAATTGACACGGTATTTATCAACGGATTTTCCCGCCCGATCAATAATTCCTATAAATTGGGTACTCACACTTTAACAAGTTGATCAAATATCCTTAAGTGAGAAACGCACGCGGAATTTACAACACCTTCATGTTAACATTACTTAACATTTAAAACAATAATAAAAGGCACCACAAATACAACAGTCAGACCTCCGTCCTACGAAACGAGCAGATGTTAAATAAAATAAGAACTAGTCGAGGGGATACAAACGCGGCTATATTTCACCCCTCCTCTTCTCCAACAGCCCGCTAAACTCGCAGGGACTTCCACCCCTTCTTAACATCGGGCAGGTATCGCCGAATTGGAATGCCTGATATCAACAAGAATGACCGTCGACAAAAAAAAACATCGACTTGTCTTTTGGCGCGTGAATTTTCCCGGCAAGACGTTATTGTTAATGACGGTTGAAGAAAAACCCGCGCGCGGCACATTCCCGCCGTTACTCTACGCGAAAAGCGCGCTGCATTTCAATAATAAACCGATACACCCTACGAGTTATAAATAAAATGTTTGTGTGAAGTAAGCGAAAATAATTTGATATTTTTCTCTGAATTTTATGGTGATGTCGAGCAGCGGCGTCACGCATCCGGCTCATGACCTAAATTGTCAGATAACTTTGAAAATTTTGAGAGAAACTCGAAATATAAAGGCAGATTCACTCCGCCGGATTCTTGGAACGGTCTCTACCTGTGTGCATTGAGCATTAGGCTAAAGTTAAACTTGAAAAATACAGGTAGATGGATTCCAAGAAGATTAGTTCAGATACTGGTTCTACAGTCGGTTTCACATTGCCAAAGCGACGTTAAACTCACGTGTTGCCAGAGGATTCTTTGAATTATTATGTACCGGGAGCCAACGGAACGTACACGTTAAAAAGGCAAAAAAAATCAAATCATTTATGCATAAATTTTGGTAATTTATTCCAAAAAAAAAAAATCGAAAATAGGCCAAAGATTACTTACGACAGCAATCTTAGATAATTTATGGGTTTATTATTATTGAACAGTTTGGTGGTTCTGCCAAAGATTATAATGTCACTCCACTTTATTTTTATAACTGATTCAAAGGAAATTTTAATATTTTTAGATAAATAGCTTTTCAAATTCGATTCAGAGTATACTATTTCTAAATATAAAATGGCATCTGGTATTTGCTGAGTAGTTCGTTCCATTCAAACTGAACAAAGACCTGCTGTTCCTTCCTAATCATCTCGAATTACTTCCAGTACTAAGATCTCGACAATTTCCAACAAAACCGCCAGGTAAATGTTTATTTCATCTTACAGGTTCTGATTTTAACTCCAGTCAACAGCTTAACTTAACTTGTGGAAAGTTTACAGAGATTTATGACGGTAGTCGTAGGAAGAAGACATCTTGGGTGTGAACATGTTCATGATGTTTGGGGACCGGAAGCCGCAGAAGATTAGGCACCCTTCGACCTCCGAACAAAGTTAAGTCACAGTTAAGTGCTGGTAATTGTGTATAAGTCTGCGCCCTTTCCGTTTTCCGCATGAGAGCAGCTGAGGTGCAGCCACAAGACAAAAAAAGCCGTGAGAAAGCCTTTTTACAATCTTAGGGAGCATTCTAATTACGATTTTCATCATCGCTAATGAAATTTCAACTCAACTTTGTGTCAAAATTCGGTTCTAAAAGCCGCTTAATTGTGTTACACGGCCAAATACACGCACCAACATTTTTAATTTCAGGAAATGGAAACAATAAGGAATAAAAGCCGGCGGGATTTTCTTAAGCCACCCCCATGAAAATGAATGCTCAAGCCAGCGTAAAGCGGAATTTAATATGGACGTTTCGAGCGATAGCTCCGGAATCGGAGAAAAGAAACTGGGAGAAGATTAGGTTTCTTTTTTTTTTCCGAATCAGTGGCGGCGCGGTTAAGAATTAATTAAAGGGCTAAAGCCATCGACGATAATGAATGAAAGATTCGCTCCATTCGGACGTTTCGTGCAAATTATTACCACCGACTACCACCTGGTTCCTGCCGGAAATTACTCTTGTCGCGGAGGCGGCTTCCCTATCGAACCACCACTAACGATGAAAAATAACACCCCGAGATGAGGATCGCCTTTAATGAAAACATTAACGACGCGAATTCCGACGCTTAAGCGCCAAATAACGTATAGAGGTGATAGCGACGCCCCCTCCAGACACAAATTCCGGCCTGCGGCTCGTGAATTACGACTAACTTAAATACAATTTACGAGTACAACTTGTCACTTAAATACTTTGAAATAAGTCTATCAAATTCTTTTTAAGATCAACTAGTAAAAGGTGGTATTTGCCACATAAAAGGCATTTCACTCAACATAAACATAGTTTTTTTGAAAATTGAGGCATACCTGATTTTTCAAAACTAAAATTATTTTTAACCAAGCAGAGCTGAAACCAAAAAATCAAAATTTAAATCGAGAGTATTAAATTTTATCTTTTAGAAGAATCGTTTCACTTATTTAAGCCATCTTCGTTGTCAAAATTATTCTTTTTCTAAAAATTTTGTGAAGATATTAAGTTCCGTAGTCAAAGATAATCATACAAAACATATCGTCAGCGGGAAAAACAAGTTTATCAATGCTATGACTAAATATTAGAAACAATTATTCATAGTTATTTATGTTATAAGTCCGGAAAGACAAATTTGTATTAAGGTACAAATATCAAAATTAGTGATGTAACAGACTTAATACGATTTTGGCAGTAAACGGGTTTTTTTTTCTGTTACTTGGTAAGCATTGAACTAAAAACTAAACTAAACTTTATCAATAAGGAACACACGTATTGTTTTACAGAATTTAATAATATAATTTACTTTACGACCAATAACAGCTTTTCTTGCAAAGTAGCGTCCTGTTCCCAACGACGTTTAATTTTAAAAACAGAAGTCTAAAATGGAATTTTCGAGTAACTAACCTAATTGACCAACCTTCTTCTAGTTTTGTGACAATGCGAGTTTTTATCCCTTCTGTTGTCTGCGGAGGCATTACGCTTTTCTTTTGACTAGAAGTGTACATATTTTATTTTAAACTGTAAAAATAAAAAACAACATGTAACAATAATAAGTTACCAACTCTGATGCAGTTCACTTCAAAATCAGTCAAAATCTATTAGGCAATATGAAATAAAAATTTTCGATTGTATTTTGAATTTTTGTAACAGAACTTTGTAAAAGATCAACCTTGTGGTAAAAATGTGAAAAAAGGAATCTCACCGAACAGTCATAATAATTAACACTGAATAGTGATGTTAAAGTGTAACAATAATAATGCTAATTAATTTCTAAATCTGGTCCATTGTTCCTTCAGGTATTGGTGCTAAGTAATCGAAGACCGTTAAGTGACTGACATTTTCAATTAAACTGTATAACGATTAAATGTCAACATCAAATTCAATTATTTATGAGATTTAATTAGTCCCTATGAAATAACCTAATGAAAAGAAACATTTACATGTGTTGTCTTCAAGAACTCTGTTTCGTAGTCGCAATTAATTCAATCGAAAAATGTTAAAAAGCACTCAAATGCCAACCGTCACGTAGACGAAATATATCCGGACACATCTCATGAAGCGGTCGCGTTCAAATAAACACATTTGAAATTTTAATAGCGTCCATACGTCCGATATGAATTATTGACAATATAAAAAGGCGAAATAAACCGTAATGGTCTATCATTTCGAACGATCCCGCCATAACTCGCGGTAATCGTCGATTGCATCGCCAGATGGGGCTCGCCGGGTCAGATCGACGCGCCGTGGGTGTGAATGCGGCCTTCAACTTGACACAACCGATAAATCTTTATCCTTTTCGGGGATGGTGTCGTATAGAGACGGTCACGTCGACATCATCGTGACAGATAATGAGCTCCTTGGAATAGGCACGCACGAAACTTCTTCGAAAAGATTAAGCCGCGTTCACACTTGACCAGATAAATGAACCATTGTGAGGATTCAATATTAGGATGGCTATATGCGGGTCATTAAAATTTCCACGGGTTCACGGCCGCCTCTGCACGGTCATTGTCGCTTGATTGTCGTGTGTTCAACAAACCGCTCTTGGAACGCATTATTAATTCTTTGGGAGAAAGAAAAGTGCAGATTATTTGCTGCGTAGCATCGGTCCTTGACAAGTTTATTTCTGTACATCATTGGGAAATAAGGTCGCGTTCTTGGATAAATTCCTCT